GGGGGGGGAGAGAAATGTTGGAAAAACAGTGAAAATGAATTTATTGAAAGACAAAATCAATTAGAAGAAGGCATTTTTTGTCTAAATTATACAATTTATTGTTGTTTTTAAATTTCTCCTTTATTTTACAGTGGCCTTGTAATAGCATTTTACCATGGCCGGCAGTTATCCATCACTTCCTTACAGAGTGGCAACATCGACCTCTGTCGCTCACGCTCAGGTGTGCTAAAGGTAAGCTCCCATACTCAGGTGTGCTAAAGGTAGGCTCTCATACTCAGTTGTGCTAAAGGTAGGCTCTCATACTCAGTTGTGCTAAAGGTAAGCTCTCATACTCAGGTGTGCTAAAGGTAAGCTCCCATACTCAGTTGTGCTAAAGGTAAGCTCTCATACTCAGGTGTGCCAAAGATAAGCGCTCATACTCAGGTGTGCTAAAGGTAAGCTCCCATACTCAGGTGTGCTAAAGGTAGGCTCTCATACTCAGTTGTGCTAAAGGTAGGCTCTCATACTCAGTTGTGCTAAAGGTAAGCTCTCATACTCAGGTGTGCTAAAGGTAAGCTCTCATTCATAATCATAATTGGTCATGTTAACATTTTGACGAGTGTTGTAGTCCCATTACAAAGATAATCCAAAACCGGTTATCTTCATAATGGGACGAGTTCGTCAAAATTTTGAAAAATATGTTGAGGAGTCACCAAAAACGTTTTTACTGGTGTGCTTAGGTTAAGATCTGATAACTGAAAACCCATGTAGACCTGAAGCACACTATATATCAGGATGTTTTATTTCTGCAGGTGATGAAGTGCATGGAAAGCATGACAAGGATTAAAAACTTTGACAGACGAATGACAGGAGCCAGTGTCATAGATGAGGCTCTACAGGAGGTTTGTAGCTTATACTGTGTGCTGTTTCCTACTTTTTGCTGATATTTTCAGTTCTTTAAGATTTTTCAAGCAGAAATCTTGAACTGCTAAAAAACAAAATATGATATGATTTTTGTCCATAAACCAGTGGGGTATGTATTTCCCGCTAAATTGGGATGGGTCCTTTTTGTCTCATTTAGGGAAGAAAATATACCAACTGAGAAGGAATTTTTTAGGATTAATATGCAAATTCAGGAATAAGGCATAAATACGAAATAGTTTCTTTTGGGAATGGAGCCCATTATCAACTCCTTTGCCCCATATATATATATATATGTCTACTTACTGGTCGTTACAGGTGTTAGGATGTGCGATGAGGGATTATATCAAGTCCTGGTACCGACAAGTCAGCGATCATGACGGCTACCTGCTTGATATCCGACAATGTGTTCAGAAAATAGCAATAACATTTGCATCCAGGTAATGTATACGTAAAAGTGTATTCAATGCAGGTTAAACTTCCCTTCCTGAGCATGGGGGGGGGGGGGGGGGGGGGGGGATAGCCTTAAGTTGGCATAATAGCAATGGTAAGTGAAACATAAAAGTGAATGGCAATTGCAGGGTCAGAAAGTCATAGAATTTGAGAGCAGTGGGCTATATTTAGCAATTTTTACTCAATATCAAAATTAAGAGGGTCCATTCTATGATTATTAGAAGAATCTTGGAACATGGAGGGGTCAATTTCAATTTTGAGGGGTCATTGGCCCCATGGCCCCCTCCAGGGCTATCCTTGGTATTGTAATGTGATACAAAATGAATATCGATATTCATACACCTGATGTACTTTGTATACAAGTATGCCAAATTACTGTCGGTATAGTAGTTTTTATGTACCACGACAGAAAGTCTCGTACAGGTTATGAACTTGTTTGATCTATAGGTGGTGCTGCATAATATCATGTGTTCTGTAAATAGAATTACTGGGATAATTCTATTGTTCAGTTATTAATTGTCTTTATTAACATTTTAAATTTCAGGTCAAAAGATGTGGATTGGATGCCATATTTTACACAACGTTTAGTGGATGATTTTGCATCTCATATACGACTTTACCGACGGGCCAGAGAGCGTGTCAAGATCTCTCCGAGAGATGGTATGTACCATGTGATCAGGTATAGCCAGTAAGATTATTTTTTTCCCCTAAATTACTGACGTCACTGTTTCAAAAGCTGTGCCTGTTAGAATAAAAAAAAATACAAACCTAAAGTTATTTGTATACAGCAGCCACTTTTTGATATTTTTCCTATACAGGCGACTTAATTCTATAAATCTCTAGAATCTTAACACATTTACTGTTTTCTGTGTTTGCAGCTGTATTAGGAAATAGATCCCTATTTATGTGGATTTATTTCATATTCTTTTGATACATAAAATTCAACTATAATAAAATAAAAATTGTCATTGTCAGTAAATGCGCTGGTATTGCAATTTTTACCGAACCTTACAAAATTCCTAGAAATTTATATCATACACATTTGTAACTTTTGGGAAAATAATCTGAAAATAAATTTTATATGCAAAGAGTACAAAAAAGAGAATTGATATTATATAAATATCACATTCATGAGAGGGCGATATTGCATATTTTCACCCCAAGGAAACAATGCTTTCCGAGGGGTGAAAATATGCAATATCGCCCTCTCATGAATGTGATTTTTATTTTATTATACCGAGTGTCATGTTTAGGTGTTTGACCACTTCACCATTTTTAAAGGTCGACAAACGTTTCAGAAAAGTTTTCACTGGGATGAACCAGGGGCGCATACATTCGGCGCATGTAACACTTTTTGGAATAACACCCTGGCACTGGAACGAACCGTGCACGCATACGTTTGGCGCATGTGATATTTTTTGGAATAACACCCTGGCACTGGGACGAACCGTGCACACATACGTTTGGCGCATGTGATATTTTTTGGAATAACACCCTGTCTTCTTTATCTTTGTAAAACGAGCAAGTAACATTGAAAATGTTCACATCTTTCTCAACCAATCAGATTACGAGATTTTAACAGAAGGTATAATAATTTAAATTAGTTAACTGTTTTAGAATTAATGATTACATTTAACATACAAAAAGGATTATGACAAGTAGATAGAGACTGCTTTCTAACATTTAACATTCAAAAATATATAATGTTTATTGCAGAGGATTATGAAAAAGAGATAGAGACTGCGTTCTTTGACCTGGAGTACAATATGGAGAAGATGTGTAGAGACCTTGTTAGTATCTCACCGGAGGATGAGAGGCGTAAGTCTAGGATTAAATTAATAGCTATCCCAGGTAGTATAGGACATTATGTTAAGATTATTTTGAAGCATGTGACATTGGTTTCAAGCCCTGGCATCTGGAGCAATTTATTTACAACAGACATGTGGGGTCTTGAAACAATTGTATTGACATTCTTTTTTTGGGATAGTCCTTGGTAAAATTATTGTTTCCATGTCTGATTAAGTGTTATATAAAAAAAAAATTATGTGGGAAATAGAAATTTAGAAAGAGTATTTGAAGTGTTATCTTTTGAAGACATCTTTGTTCATTGTAGAATAAGTTGTTTAACACAAATTGTACCTTTCTTGAGAAATTAAGGATAAATATTTGGTAATAACTGCCTCAAAGAACCTAAATATCCAAAGGATTGAAAGATTGCTTTTACTGCAGCACAGAAATGATGGAATAGTCCATGAAAGAATCTATTAATGTGTCTAATTTAAGAAGAATTATTAAAAAAATTACTTAGATATGTAATGACAGTTATAATACCTGGTAATATAAGAAGTACCTGCTATAGAAATAGCTTTGGGGAGTTCTCTGAAATGTACATCAAATGTCATAATATTTATAAGACATTAGTAAATGTGTTTGTATTTGAGTATTTATAAGGGCTAATTCAGAAATGAAAATGAACATGTGATGCAGTAAGGAGACACTTTTTTCCCACCCCTGTTAATGACAATTTTTTTGTCAGCCAATTTTTTTTTGTCCAACTTTTCAAATGTTCAATATTTTAGACCCCATGCCACAGTAATCAAAGTCTGTCAATCATTATGGGTGCCTCCCTGCTCCCTACATGTATCTGAAATAGCGCTTGCATTGTACCCGTTGTGTACATGTTACAATTTGGTAAACACTTGCCCTTTATACTCTTCACTTGCTTATGAAAAAACCATGAAATCTTATACCATCTTTTCACAGACATTGCAGCTATACTATAATTATGATGTCATTGCTCTATTTTACTATAGTGGACGTCGCTATATACAGTTTGTTGTTGTTTGTCGCTTTGTCGATTTTTGTAATTTAGGTATCTTGAACATTGTTGTTCTAGTGGGCCAAAATGTATCAACTGGATTAAATTTACCAAGGCTCCCCATTTGATGTTGTCCGGTCCTCTCTTTTGAATTTTGATTACTCTAATGGCCGGACTAGTGAATTCCATTTAGAAATCCATCAACTGGGGTAGCAGAACTTCACTGAACATTTTCCCTCGAATTTGGTGAATTGTCAAGTCACAGAGCAGACTATCGGAGAGACTAGTTTCATTCCACTTGTACCTTCCTATCAATACAATATAAGCATGAGGCAGCTACGATGAAATAAAACATCATTTAACATTATTTGATATATTTTTGTGGTTATAGAATACCTACAGGACCTTAGTGAAGTTTTACTCTACCTCCTGCTGCCTACTGAAGATTTCCAAAACAAGACTTTTAGATATATTTTAAGGGTAAGAACTGCTTATCCTATACAATGAAGTCTTTCTAATCCAATCACCACTGATACGGTGGTAACACAGCAGAATACAGCCAATATTTATAAAAAAAAAAAATCCCTTTTTCAATCCAAAAGTGATTAATTTCGTAAATGCTCAAGGATATGATACAAATATGTTTTACTAGTAGTTTTAGGCCTGTGAAAAAAAGAAAATGATATTGAAGGTACTGCAGTGCTGAAATAAATTGAGATATATCTGCCACATTAAAACTTAATGCAAACATCACTATTGGAAATACTATATGTCTAGATCATGTACGTGTTATAATGCTGTAATTGAAATTACGTTTACAGGAAGTTCTAGTCAACGGCATTTTAATGCCAACAGTCGACCTGATGTCAGATCCTGACTATATGAATCAAAACATGTCGTGGCTGGTGAGTGACAATACTTCTGCATCCTCATTAATTTGTATTGAGATTCTTTAAATGGGTTTTCAGGCATTTGTTTATTTCATAAAATGATTTTTGTGTCATATTTAAATATCTGGTTAAATATTCAATTTTGAGCAAAATTGATTCTCATTGGAAAAAAGCCTAAAATCATCAAATGTAATATTTCATTAGACTTTTCATTTAAATGAAATAACAATGTTACAAATATATAATTAACGTAGCAACAAAGGTTTTACGAACATTATTTGCTTAATGTTTTATACAGGTTTGTATGTACTGTAGCTACCTGTGTGTGTTTTCAGTGTAAGGAGACCACATTCTCTAACGAGACATTCCTAAACGTTTTGAAAAGTTCTGACAATATAGCAGAGCTGGAAGCTGTTAAGGAAATTACGGAACAAAATATAGCGAAATGGCGGTCACAGGACTCGGGAGGAAGTGACGGTATGTATAGTTCCACACCCTCCTGTGTATACTGATATATCATATGAATACTGTGTTATGCAGTGTCATAAAGCCATCACATAAATTATGTTTATGTAACGTGTGTAATATCACTCCGGAAATGACATCACAATGGAATAGGAACAATCAATGTGACGTCACGTCATTGTGAAGCTGACGCAATTTTAATTGTTTCAGAGGCGGCCAAGTGCAAAACATTCGTTTCATATCACAATTACACAGTTTACTGCCAGAGGCTCGTAAACATGAAAAGTCCAAAACTTGTTTCATGAATTTAATATGAAGGGAAACTTATGACAGATCCTCTATATATCATGATAAAAGACATTAGTTTTACAACAAGAGAATGTACAACATCTATGAAATGGACTAAGATTCAGTCAGATATGTGTTTATAATTTCTCTGGACCACCATCACATATTTAATTCTATTTCATATTAATGTCGTTGTTGTTGACATATTGTGTGATTTATTAACACAAACTCTGTCATGAAACAAAACATTATCACAAGTTAAGTTAAAATATTATCATGTTAATCTGGAAGTTGTTTTTGACTTTATGTTTTATTTACACAGTCTCTATTGAAACAGAACACTATCATAAGACTAGTTTAGTTTAATTTTACGTTAATCTCATTGTTGTTGACCTATCATATCTTATTTACATAGACTCTGTCCCGAAACAGAACACTATCACAATTTTACTTTCATTTTATGCTCATCTAGTTGTTGACTTATCATATTTTATTTACATTGACTCTGTCTTGAAACTTTCATTTTATGCTCATCTAGTTGTTGACTTATCATATTTTATTTACGTAGACTCTGTTCCGAAACAGAACACTATCACAACTTTACTTTCATTTTATGCTCATCTAGTTGTTGACTTATCATATTATATTTACATAGACTCTGTCTCGAAACAGCACACTATCACAACTTTACTTTCATTTTATGCTCATCTAGTCGTTGACTTATCATATTTTATTAACATAGACTCTGTCTCGAAACAGAACACTATCACCACTTTACTTTCATTTTATGCTCATCTAGTTGTTGACTTATCATATTTTATTTACGTAGACTCTGTTCCGAAACAGAACACTATCACAACTTTACTTTCATTTTATGCTCATCTGGTTGTTGACTTATCATATTTTATTTACATTGACTCTGTCTTGAAACTTTCATTTTATGCTCATCTAGTTGTTGACTTATCATATTATATTTACATAGACTCTGTCTCGAAACAGCACACTATAACAACTTTACTTTCATTTTATGCTCATCTGGTTGTTGACTTATCATATTTTATTTACATTGACTCTGTCTTGAAACTTTCATTTTATGCTCATCTAGTTGTTGACTTATCATATTTTATTTACATTGACTCTGTCTTGAAACTTTCATTTTATGCTCATCTAGTTGTTGACTTATCATATTTTATTTACATAGACTCTGTCTCGAACCTTTCATTTTTGCTCATCTAGTCGTTGACTAATCATATTTTATTTACATAGACTCTGTCTCGAAACAGCACACTATAACAACTTTACTTTCATTTTATGCTCATCTAGTCGTTGACTTATCATATTTTATTTTCATAGACTCTGTCTCGAAACAGAACACTAACACAACTTTACTTTCATTTTATGCTCATCTGGTTGTTGACTTATCATATTTTATTTACATAGACTCTGTCTCGAAACAGAACACTATCACAACACTAGTTTAGTTTAATTTTATGTTAATCTAGTTGTGGTTTACATATTATATTTTATTTACAGACTCTGTCGTGAAACAAAACCTGAACAGCCTACTATTTGTCAAATCTATATGTGAGGGCAGAATCAAACGTATAGAAGTTGGGGGTGAAGACCCGGAGCTTTGTCAAGATGTAAGTATACAACAACAAAGTGTATAAAGTCAGGTCAGTCATTTCACGTCAGATTACTGTATGCCAATACATTTTTGCCGCAGTTTAACTTTGCCCTTGTTCGTCCTCCAGATCTGAGGGCAAATTTAATTAATTTATTATGACAGTGAATAAGAGTACACAGCATACCCTTTATTTAAATAACATGTCAAGGGCGAATTTAACACAGGGTGAATATGGGTTTCATCGGAGAAAGGCAGATATTTGTCTTAGCGAAGATTCCGCCGCATGCAGTAGCTCTATCATATTTGTGGGGAAATGACAAAAAGATGTCTGTTTTTTTCTTTTCTTATCTGAGTAAAAATTATCTTCAGTTTGCTAAAAAGTGACAGTAAAATTGATTTTGGAGGAGGATGTTAGCAGCAGTATTACATACCATCGTCTAATCTTTATATCACGAATAGTAGAATATGGGCAAACTCATAGTAGGTAGAGAATATTAACAAATTGGGAAAGACTTGTTGGCAGGCTCTTGTTTATCTCAATATTACAGGTTGATCAATCAAGTTGGTATCGGAACATTAGTATTTAAAAGGACAGCATTAGCATAATATGTATTTAGCTTGAAATCAAATGAGTTCCAAGAAAATATTATTTGTTCTAGATGGTGCATGACAAATTAATAATGAACTTTTTTTTCTTTCAGATATCAGAATTTTGCAGAGCTAAAAATATATTTGTACTTAGCTTAGATGAAATTATAGAAAACAACATTGCTTTGGCAGTATTTATTGGTAAGTTGTTGTAAATTATGATTTCCATTCAACAGATCTATCAAATAACGATTCTGTCAGTTATTATTTATACAAGTAAAGAATGTGTTTTCAATATTAGAAGAAATGAATGAAAAGTAACCCTAAACTGAAAATGCAAAAAATAAAAGAATTTCCTGAGAATGTTAATAATGTTCATAATGATTGATTTGGTCACTGCCTGAACTAGTCCAATTTTAAAGTATCGGATTGTGTACAGGTGCTGGACACACTGATATGATGTGTATATACATCATGTACTATATAATGGTAAAGGTGTAGAAAGGTTAATCGATACCAGGGATTGGATTTAAACATAGTTATTGCCCCTTATTTGAGCAGAGGTTTTGACACAAGTTATATCAACTTATCAACACCTCTTCCTCCAATACAGTGCCTCATAAATACATGATAGCATTTAACAAGGCATGCAGAGTATATTTTACAATTATTATATTTGACTTAAAACCTGTTGCTGGATTTGATGAAAAGTTACACGTGTCTGAATACTTCTGTATTGGTATCTACAGACAGATTTTCATTCCCAAATAAAAATGAGTCTTAATTAACTGGATATGTATTCAATGAGCTTATGTTTTGAATTAGCTATATTTGTGCTGTATTAAAAAGCTTATATTCAAAGAAAAAATGGCAAACATCCTTTCAGGAATGTTCACAAAGTGTTGATACCAATTTCCAGAAACCTTGAAAAAAGATTAAATCCTCAGTGCAGCTGCTCTAACTGCTTTCAGATCGTATCCTAAGGCCCTAATGTATTACTCATAAAAAATGTTTAATTACCTAATACATTAACTCCATTATATCGTCATTTAAAGTTGAAAAATCTATTTTATCACATAATGTACTGTGTTATCCAGTGAATATACCCATGTTATATTTTTTTGCATATTTACCCATGTAATATGATCACCTATCAGCCCTGTGATTGGTTGTAAGTTTCAATTGTTTCAATCGTGACGTCACACCTAGGACATCACAGACTTACAATGGAGTCAAAATGGAGGCTTTTTTACATTTCAAGGTTGCATGAAAAATGCCACAAATATTGATTATGTGATAAAAAGGATCATATACTCGTTTTCGTTTCATATTAAATTTATGAAACTTGTCACAAATTTTCCTTTTCACTCACCAGAGGCTCGCTAAATTGAAAAAAATCTTAGACTTGTTTCATAAATCTCATATGAAATGAAAACTCATGAAAGATCCTATATATATATTATACCACATCATATCAGTTTGTCCAGCACCTGTGATGGTAATGGTTCAGCTTTTCATATCTTGTCCTGAATTTGTGTTTTTCAGAGTTTATGAGCAGTGTAGGGGGACAGCAGTACTTATTCTTCTATTTAAATGTGGAGGTAAGATTTGTGTAGATACTTCTAAGGCAAAGAGCTTCATCACTTTCTACTGTATACAGACATTGGAGAGTGTTTTCTGGTTAAATCTTATGTAATTTCCTCTGCAATCCTTGAAAGATAATTTTATAGGTTGCTAACCCTTTTAGGGAATTAAAACAGTTTCAAAATTATTCTCAGTTATGTTGCTTAAATATTCGAATGCAGTGGTTAACTCAATGCATTTTAATCAAGAGGTTTGAGGTTTTAATCCTGTAGGGGAGATGTTTTGATGAAAATTGAAATTATTTTTGGATGTTTTTCTTCTGTATATAAAGTACTTTTATGATAAAATGGTCCAAGTCAGAAAAAGGTAAACGATGGAAACAAATAAAAACCTAAACGATGGAAACAAATCAAAACCTAAACGATGGAAACAAATCAAAACCATGGAAACAAAGCCAAAATGTCAAATCAGTGACGTATGAAAATCAAGAACCATGCGGCATGCCAAGTGTTCCTATTTAACTCATTAACCCCTGAGGTTTCATAATGAACTATTCCAACCTTTGAATTGGAGGAGTTCTGATGTGTGTTCAGGGTTGAATGAGTTAATACCGAATTGCATTTGTACAGGGTTTCCGGGCAGCAGCAGAGCAGCAGATATCGGCAGCCCACCAGCAGGCTATGGGGGGCACAGCCATTGAGGCAGACCTGGAATCTCTACGGCGGGCAGCCATGATTATACACGACCAGTATTTATCTGACAAGGTGGGTGTGGCCATAACCAAAACATATGTTCAGAACATACCTGTATTTAACTATTCTGAGTTTGAGTTAGGAAGGATGATTGAATCATTTGAATTCAAGTTAAAATGAATGTAATTATATGGTTCTGTTTTATTCCAGGCTACATCCAAAATAAGGATTGAAGCTGATATTATTAAGAGGACTTTACAGAAAATCAAAACTAAAAACTTATCTGAAGACGTTTTTGATGAAGCACAGGCCAAGGTAAGTTATTAGGTCCTCACTTTGATTATGGTTTTATGACTCGATACTCCAGGGGAAGCGCTCGTTACCACTCTCTATTCCTGGAATATGTCAAAGCAAAATTGAAGGCACGCGGCTAGCGAAAGTGAGCGTAATCCCTGGAGTAGTGTGGATGGGTTTCACAGCGACGACACAAGTGATTGGTCTACTAGATCACAAATACAATAAATGTCTATCATATTCCCAACACAAACCACTTTCTAGTCTGAATGAAAGCATAATAAGCTACTATACAAAGTTCAATTATAAATGAAGTTATGATAGTTTGAAGTTTTGATCAGAGGGCTATACCTATGGGGGTCATGGTCAATCCATGTTTGAACATAGGCTAGTGAGCTGTTGTATCTGCAGCTAATCTTCTGGTACTGTGAAATCAAAGATTTTCATGGAGTTTTTAATTTCGTTGATTTTGTGGGAAATCTTCATCCAGGAATTCATAGATCTACAAAGAAGTTACAAGTTTGATATTAAGTAATTCTACGTTTGAATAGTTTTTACAGTAATTGGGTTTTGATTTGACAAGGACTATATTTATATCTGACCAGGCATATATTTTCTTCAGACCAAAGATGTAGTTTTAGAAAATGTTTGTAATTGTTAACCTGGTAAATTATTACTGGCAGTGACCAGGTACTGTGAAATCAGATAGTTTTGTGGGGCCCAAATGTTGTGATATCACGGGAAAAAAATACCATTCCCTGGGTACATGGATTTGTGGCTTAAGACCACCCACTCATACAGATAATGGCTTTATGTCAAAAGTAGAATTACTTTGGGAACCTAGGAATTCTGGATGATGAATACCGGTACCCATGAAATTAAAACCCCATAAAAATTTGTGATTTCACAATACATATGATTTTTTGACTGAATGTATGAATTTTACCCAAGCATGGTTATCAAATGTTTGACTAGGTGTACCAGATCCTGCATGGAGACCAGTACTATGAGAACTTTCTCCAGAGTAATGTGTACATGAAGCTTCTACAGGAACTCGGCCTGATGCCGGACAGCAAGTCTGAGGATGGGGACAATCTTAGTCTGGATGATGGTAAGGGTCTCGTGCATAAACTCCCTGTCATGTTTATTTATAAACACTCTCTAAAAGGGGATATTTTTCTCTAAGCCATGTTGTATCGATCTGTCAGAATATAATTACTTTGGAGATTTATTGTATTAATAACAATAGGAATTGTCTGAAATGGAATTTGCCACATCACACAACACAAAATGTTTTGCTTTAAAAAAGTTGTAATTTAAAATGTTATTTAAAATATAATTTTAAAAAAGTGGTTGCATATCAAAATTAAGTGGGGTGTTTTTTTTCGAAATAACCAGAAAAGAATTGAATTTTTGGAGGAAATCAATAATTGTTTCAAACCTGAATAAAAATGTTTTAAAAATACATTTTGTATCATACAGAAAATCTATTTCATTTTTTGGCAAAATATGTGTTTGTAATTTTTGTTATTATTATTATGGCTCAGTCTTTCAAGTACTGTTAATATTGTGATGTAGATAAGGCATTTTCCAATGCTCTTTTCAAAAATGTTGAAATTTAAAAAAACAAAATTTGAATTGTTGTTCAAAATTTAAAAAGCAAAAAGAGGTCAGTTACTCTGTTTATAATGTGTAGTTTATTTGAAAATTTCAGAAATATTTTTCTTAATTGATACACTCAAGTCCAATAGATTTGAAATACTTCAATGTTAGACTAACAATACTGTGAAGAATTGGGTCATGTAGATTTAAATTAGCAGTATAAAGGATGTCTCATTTTTACAGTGCCCAGGATTATATGGTTCAAAGTAAACTTGGTAAAAATCTACATGTTAATTTTCTTTGCATCAGACTGTCTTAGAATGTACCACCTATTCAATTTGCAATGAAAATATTCTAAAATTTCATTTAGTCACATTGAAAGTAATTCTTTATACCTGTTTCCCTTTTTTACAAAATTTGCAGATGATTTTTTTTTCTCTAAATACCACACTTTTGAAATCTCATTGATTGGTAAATGCAACAATTGAATAGCAAATCATACAAAAACTGTTAGAACTGTTGGGAGTTTCACGTAACTACATGGTTTTTTTCTGATATTGGAATACATATTTTCTCTGATTACTGATTGAAATTTTAGAAATATTTACATGTTTTGTAATGTCATTTGTGTATAATGTGTGTATTAACAGTCAGTCGGATGTTATTTTAAATTTTCATTTCTCCAAAATTGCTGAAATATACATCATTTAATAACCAATGTTTGTTTTCACTATTTAAAAAAAAAAAAAAAAAAAACCAAGAAAAAGTACAGGAATTATGTGAAATAACTAATGTGAAATAAATTTCTTGACCTATCTGATGGAAAAAATAACTTAAAAATGAACTGTTTTTATTTGATGACAAGTATAATGGATAAGGGGAGATAACTGTAGAATAGATGAAGTCTTTGGTCTGGCTATGCTGGAGAAATGGATCAACTAGCTCTTAATATTTGTATTTCTTCATTTCCAATATTGTAAAACATATTTCATGTACTACCCTGCTCTTGCGATGTTCTGGGTGCTGTGTGGTATGTTATTATGATTGGAAATGAAGTACTACCAATTATTAATTGTTGGTTCCCTTGTATGTACTGTTATGTTTCAAGCAAATGGAATATAGAAGTCAGAGAAATATCAAATATGAAACTGGATTGAAATAATAAATTTAATTATCAATGACTTTTTTAAGATAATTTTAACGTTTTTGCTCAAGACTGTAGATCTATATGCAAATGTTATGAAACACAATTTCAGTTTACAATTCCTATTTATGAATTCGTTAGAATTAATTTCTACATTGATAATGCCTCTTTTCTACATTCCTGTTGTACTTTAATGTTCAGTATTTAATTTGTAGCCACGGTATTGAGATTAAACTTGATGTGATGCATGGTGAATGTTGAGATGACTTTGATGGCCTCAGAATTGTTTTATAGGGTGTCGGTATTTCCTACCACTTTTCACAGTGTCAGTGTTAGACCTGCACACACTGGGGGTACAAGTACACTGTTATCTACATAGCTGTATAAATAGACACCAGTAAAGTCACCACAAAATTATAGAGACTATTGCTGGACATTCAATCCTAATTATCCAGCTTCCTTGTCACGTGTCTGACCTGATCGATAACTGTGATAAACATGATTTGTTAGTTTAACAAGAAAAACATGCTTAGTTAGAAACACTTTCTTTGGATCAGAACATCCAATGACAATAATAAAAACAAGGGTTTCTGTCCGGCAGGCTTCTAAGGCTAAATGAGTATTGTACTAGACAGGTGTGTTGAAGCTTTAAGCCTTTCGCTTCTATGTGACTTTAATGACCTCTACCATAAATTGATCTGGATGAGTCCATTATAGTTTGCAGTGTTGAAAGGGTTAAGGAACACGGTCACCCTGGGACCATATTTTTCAGACATTTTGTGATGATCTGGCAGGTTTTCTAAAGAATGAAATAAGAGTGAGTCAAGAGTTTTCAAGTTATTTGGTGGAAATGGAGTCAGTGAGGCTACTTATTGAAAAACATCCTGACTGTTCCACTGGCATGATATATATATATATATATATTGATTGAAATTAGTATATGTTAATCATTGCATGTGTTATGCGTTGAGAAATAAAAAGTTGATAAAGGATGCTTTGCATCTTGGACCAGTGTGGAAATGCTGACACTTTTTATAGTAATTTTATGCTTTTGTCGATGCAACATTGACAGGAAAAAACCCGAAAGTAAAGTAATTTATATCAATATTAAGCAATTCATAATTGTTTTATAAAATTTGATTAAAACCAAGAGGAAATGTGTTAATTTGTTCTAAAGTCAATTTACCAGAAAAATAAATCTTGATTCAGAATATATATAGATGATGATAATTCCACATTTCTACATTTGTCAAAAAGTAATTGTTACAATTAAAAATCTTTTAAAGAAAATAAACTTCAATGTTGTATGGACACCCAGCACTTATTATTATATACATGAATTTTGTGAATCTTGATATAATTGTCGCATGTATATGTTCTATATATAGATTGTGTGACCTTGACCTTGAAGCATTATATGTGTAACTAACGGTTTTGCCTGGCCTAGTACTGTTCCCACTAATGTTTTTTTTTAAACTCTTTTGCTTTTGTTCAGACATTTCTACCAAGTCCGGTTCGTCCATTGGCGTAAGTGGCTTCGTTCTGTCCAGTTTTCACCTTGTTTGTCCTTTGTCACCCTTCTACTTTCTGTCATGCCTTCCTTTCTTGATTTTGAATGCTTTTCATGTCAACTTGATTGTTTAGTACAAAAGTGAGCTGGATATTGTCAAGTCTTTGCTGTCAATCATTTTTCTTGAAAAAGGAGATAATATATTCTGATTAATATATCATTTAAAACAAATTGTTTGAAATAGTAGCATTCTTCAATATATCCAAAACATTCCTTTAATCCTACCAAAGATATTGCAATGAAATACATTTCATAGATTATTTACTCAAAGAATTTAATGATGTATATACGGCTTACCTCAAGCAACTCAAAAATCAGAGATAGACTATATCTCAAAAATTATTAATTTATAGACCTTAATCATGTAAGCAAACAGTTTCTTTTCAAGCGTCTCAAAAATCAGGTGTATTGCTTTTCAAAAATTATCATATACTATTTGAATTCAACATTATTTTGAAATTACATAAATCATGATTGGTTTCATAAGACATATTTAAATTAAGAAAATATCTTTTTTGAGTTTTAAATTTGTAAATAACTGATGTAAACAAATATGTGCTACTGATGTTGCTTTGTGAGATGAAATAAATTATAAAAGACCTGTTTAAATATTTCTGCATTTGGTACAAGACTTTTTTTATAAGGAAATTAAAAAAAAAAAAATGCTTTTAAGGTTAAAAGAGTGAATCTTTCCATTTAAGTCTAGCTGTAAATGAGTTCAGTGATTTTCCATTGTAAATGATACATGTATACCATATTGAATATTCCAGTGATCATATGACAAATAATGATATATTGTTTTATTTGCTTGAATCACAAGATTTTTTACAGTGTTTCACCTCACAATTAATATCAGAAACTTTGAAGTTGTTTAAAGCTAGTATTAATAGGATTTACTCAGTACACATGTACTGTATAACAAAAATTGTTCGTGGTTAGTTTCCTTCTTGGTATGAAGATATTTCAATCGTTTCGTGGCATAAACTTTCATTGATACCCCATATATACAAATAGTAGTCGCGCATATCAAGTAAATTTATCATATTCGAAAGCCACGAATAATTATACACAACAAACATTTTATGTTATACAGTATAATATTAAAACATAATTTTCAAGAAGAATACGGAACGTGCTAACATGTTTAGTTCCTGTTTACAGACAGATGATTACAGCTGTGATAATCAAGAGGATGGCATCGGTGTCGGGGATACACTGATGTCTGCCTACATCTCACAGACAGGTAACACAAATATATAGCTCCTAGGATGGTAATTAAAGCCCGATGAAGTACATATTAAAAACTCAAACTTTTTTTACAAAAAAATTATATTTGGACTTCAATGTGAAATAGTGCTGATATATCTTTTAAATATAATCTTTATTATTCAAATTAAAACACATATAGATGTTTGCATGTATCTCAATAGTCAAAATGATGGAAATATTAGATGTACCGGTATTTGAGAAACTTTGAGAAGGCAGTTTTGATGACCTATACATTTTACAAATTTCATATCATGTGTCAACAGGTCAATTTTATTTTTCCGAAAAAAGATAGACCAGTGAAAATAAAACTACACCATTTTTGAGAATTTTTCAAAAACCAACCTACGTGAAAATATCCCAATTTATGGTAATTTGGTCACTCAGAATCATGCAGAGATTGTGGTTTAATGTAAATCAATCTAGAAACCTGCTTAGAAACTGTTGTATACCTACAATGTACCTAGGTATAGTGAAGGAGTCGGACAAGTCAGGAAAGTCATATGCTGTGTTCGCCATCCGAGTCACAAGGAAAGAGCAGGACGATGAAGATATACAGGAAGTTTACAGGCGATACAGCGATTTTCATGACCTTAATATGTTGGTTCAGGAAAAAGTAAGTATACAAGGTTATAATTCCATGACCACAGCATTATGGTTCCAAAACCAGTGGATTTTTTCTGGGGCCTTTTTGGGGCCAATAATGGACCCCAAAACTTGGGGAGGGATTTAATATTTATGCCCAATTCCTAATATTTGCAGTTTACCCCTGAAAATTTCCTTCCCATTTCATGTATTTTCTTCCCAAAATGAGACAAAAAGTCTCCATCCCAAATAAAAGAAAAAACAAACACTGAAATCAAACAATTAAGTACCAATATATAGATTTTACAAAGTTGTTCATGACTTCAGGATGTGTTGCATGAAAATAGAACTACAAGTACACTGACAAGCTAACCTCAACGTTTTGGTGCTTGAAGCAGTTAGTGTTAAACGCATGACATCAATTTTCATTGCATCAAAATGTTGGTTCAGCAAAGCAAGCATACAGTATTAAGCAACTTCTATGAAAAAAATTGTAAAATGTTATGATTTCGTACACTGGGAAATATTTCACAGTAACCAAATTTCTCTGTTTACTCCAGTATTTTTGTTACGTCTGTACATATTAATTCTGTTCACAGTTTCCGGAGTTGCAGGGTCCTCACCTACCAGGAAAAACTGTCTTAAAACAAATGAACAAGGAATTTCTTGAAAAGCGACGGAAAGCCTTAGACAACTACCTCCAGGTTTGTATGTACAGGATATTTTATGATCAGGCCAAAAAAAGTTATTTTTTCGCAATCACCCTCAGAAAAAATACGGTAGGATAAGGTTGGCAATATCTGTTTATTTTGGAAAATATTTTTGCTATGCTTATATACAGTAGAAGTTCTGACTTTAACAGTTCATATTACTAAATGCTAATAAAAAAATCAGGGTAGGCACAAAAATCTAGGGTAGGTAGGGTTAGCGAAAAGTGTTTTTTTTATTTGGCCTTAGTCTTCTTAGTTTGATTAAGCCACTTGTGAAATAGGGAAAACATGGGCTGAATCAAGCTGGACCTGTTCTTTTGTATTTTTGAATACTTTTTGTTAATAATAAAAATCTGGTCCCATAAAAAGGAACTGTAGGGGACATATTTGCTTAAGCCATGCAAAACTGAAGGTATCGGTCATATTATATGTTTAACATAAGATTTCATTTTGTAAATTTCAATCGAAATCTGGAGAAGTACAATATCTGGAGAAATATGGAAATGAAGAGACTTAACTAGGATTTGGTGTTTAACTTAAATCTTTGCAAATTGCAACACATTCTAACAGATGTGCCGATATCCATATAAAATATCAGTTGTATTGATTAATGTATATATATCTATGTACTATAAAGCGCTTTAGAGTGGCTTATGTTAGCTAGATAGGGCACTATTTCAAATGCTGTATAGCTTGTGATTATTGATGGTGGCAATAACTTGAAAATTAAAAATTGATCATCAATGCAATGAAAATCTTCAATCTGTATGATCAATATGGTCTATGATTCGGTTTGGCAGTGTTTTGACGACACATTCATCTGAAATTCAACACTGTTTTCAGAAAATGATACCTTTTGCTGTAAAAATTATTTGTAACATGTACCAAAATACATTTGTACATTCCTTCTGTATTGCAATATACTGTATTGTGATACACACCAGACATATCATGATGCCCTTAGGCCATTTCCATATCCTACCCAATATCAACTAGAGAACCCCATAGCAGTTTAAGGGGTCAGAGCCTGAGAGTTGATATGGGGTAGGATATGGAAATGGGGATATCTAACGGTGTCACATATGACCTATGTCTAATTAAAATAGAATGCATTGTCATTGAATATCGTAACAAATGTTAAATTGCAATGTTTTAATAAACCAGTACTTGACAGACAGTGCAGTTAATGTTATAAGGAGATTACTAGAAGAATGGTAATATTAACTTGTACAATCATTTCAGAGTAGTGTTTAAGTTGATGTGTGACCTTTGATTGTTTTCCAGACATTGTTGAACAAGGAACTTTGGGAACAGTATCATGGCCTAAAGGAGCTTGTACTCAAATTCCTGGCTCCAGGATTGTGGGAAAAACACAAGAGTGAGCTGGCTAGGAAGGTAAAGACATCAACAGAGACGCTGTAGAAATGTCTGAATGTCACCACCGTCAGTAGATAGAATGTTGAGCCCTGAAATGTTTTAAAATAGTCACATGCTTTATATTGTTACCCTTTTTATGCTTCCACAAATTTTATCGGAAGAGGGGTCGGGGGGTGTCCTGGCATATGGAGTTAACCATGTACTTCACGTTCAATCTCCATTCAGTGTCATTGTCCTAGCCGTGTCTCTTATCTGCTTTTGACAGAACTTATATGTTAACGTCAAATATGAGAAAACCTGAAATGAATAAATTGTTCATGGTACTTAGGACAAGGTGAATGTTTCTGCTTAATAGAAAAATGCTAACCAATTTATAATTAGTGTCAACTCTCGAGTGACTGAATATTTTGAAGGAATTTAACCAAGTGAGCTTATGGCATGGTGCTGCGTCCGTCGTCAACATTTTACTTTAAACAACTTCTTCTCAGTAACCAAAAGGCCTAGGGTGATGGTATTTGGCCAGAAGCATGCTGGGATGAAGGGCTACCAAGTTTATTCAAATAAATGTCCTTATCCATTTTCAAGGTCACAGGGGTCAAATATGTTAAATTCTTTAAACAACTTCTTCTGAATAACCAAGAGGCATAGGGTGATGATATTTGGCCAGTAACATGCTGGGATGTAGGGCTGCCAATTTTGTTCAAATAAATGACCTTGATTTATGTTTAAAACCTTTCAACAACTTCTTCTGAATAACCAAGAGGCCTAGGGTGATGATATTTGGCCTGTTACATGCTGGGATAAAGGGCTACCAGGTTTGTTCAAATACATGACCTTGACTTATATTCTAATTCTAGGTCACAGGGGTCAAATATGTTTAAAACATTGAAACAACTTCTTCTGAATAACCACTGGGCCTAGGGTGCGTAAATTTGGCCAGTAACATGCTGGGATAAAGGGCTACCTAGTTTGTTCAAATATGTGACCTTGGTTTATATTCAAGGTCACAGGGGTCAAATATGTATAAAACCTTTCAACAACTTCTTCTGAATAACCGATAGGCCTAGGGTGATGATATTTGGTCAGTAACATGCTGGGATGAAGGGCTATCAAGTTTGTTCAAATACATGACCTTGACTTATATTCTAGGTCACAGGGGTCAAATATGTTCAAAACATTTAAGCAACTTCTTCTGAATAACCGATAGGCCTAAGGTGATGATATTTGGCCAGTAGCATGCTGGAATGAAGGGCTACCAAGTTTGTTCAAATAAATGACCTTCATTAATTTTCAAGGTCACAGGGGTCAAATATGTTTAAAACCTTTTAACAACTTCTTCTGAATAACCAAAATGCCCAGGGTGATGATATTTGGCCAGTAGCATGCTGGGATGAAGGGCTACCCAGTTTGTTCAAATGAATGACCTTGACCGCTTTTCAAGGTGACAGGGGTCAAATGTCTTAAAATCTTCAAACAACTTCTTCTCAATAACCAAAAGGCCCAGGGTACTGATATTTGGCCTGTAGCAATCAGGGCTACTAAATATGTTCAAATGAATGATCTTGACCCACTTTCAACCTAATGTCATTGTTTGACATTCAAGGTCACACTGATATTCTGCCTGTAGATGTATTTTAGTCCACTTTTAAGATTACAAGTGTGAAATTAATACCAGGTGAGTGATGCAGGCCCATTGGGCCTTTTTTTTCATGAGAATAGCTCAAATGAGGTCGAGTTTCAAGGTGCCAAGTCAAAGTCACTGTTTCTGTGGTCCTCATATGACCCTGGCTGTTGCGAGGACGTTAAACCCCAAACAAACTATGTTTCTATAACATTTACATTACAATTTGTACCGGATTCAGTGGTGTTGTTGCTCATCATTTCAATCAAACAATGTTCTATTTGTAAGAAATTGTCTAATGATGAAACAATACTGATTTAACATGGCTGTTTGGCTTTCATGTCTTGCAAATATTTTCAATTTTCAATTGGGATTTTTAACCCTTCACCACTGTAAACCAAAATGAGCTCATCAAGATCAATGCATGGTAGAGTCTACTAAAGTTACATAGGGGTGAAAGGGTTAAGATATCACACTCTCACTGTTGATAATATCAGATGCACAATCCTGCATTTGATCACATGGGCTACACTCAATTATAGCTTTTATCCAGTTGGAATTAGCACCAATGTCCTTTTGATATTTTGTTCTACAGATGGACACCATTGTGAACCCCTTGCGGACGTCGGTGAAAAGAGTAGTGTCCACAGATGCTTCAATTGTTGATGGACTCGGAAAATTCATGAAAGGGGTATGAAAGGAAAATGATCTCTTCCTAGATTATGTAAAGTGCTTAGACTATTTCATTAATGCATAAAGAAACTGTCTTGTTGATATTGAAAGAGATTTAGGGGTAACCCAGTCTGTGTTAAGCATATATAATTAAACATCATTTCTGAGGAACATACTGTTTAGTTTGAACTTGCTCAATATCTAAAAACCTTGTTTTCTTAAGATTGAATGAGAAGAAGAAAAACATTTATTGCATTCTGAATATTTTTGTAAAAATAAAATATTTGAATCAGATTAAATTCCAGATATAAATTGTGATTTTATAATTGGGCATAAGTTTTTACAATGAACATATTGTTGATGTAACAGGAAGGATCAGTACCTGGCGACAACAGGAGAGGACAAGACAGCAAGGTCGGGGCTAACATTGACCTGGAAGTGAGTGACTCTTTGATCAGCTATATGCTTGTTTTCAATGTGTTTACTTCCTTAATATAAACAGTAGTGCTGGATCTAGAGTGTGTGCAACAGAGTTACATGATACAAAAACTGCATCAGAAAATACCGACATATGGAACTAAAACGATAATTTAAACTAAGCCTTCTTTATGTTGACAAAAAAAATAATAACTTAATCAAAATACTTGACAAAGGGACTAACATAATCAAAATACTTGACAAAGAGACCAAATCAATCCAAATGTACTTGTGTTGACAGGACACACTATCGTAAACTAAATCTAGTAAGTAATTTGTGTTAACTAGCTGGGATACAAACTGAAACAAACCCGACTTTGTTTTGATAAGCTAGGGCACTAACTTAACTGATTAAGTCTACTTGTGTTAACTAAAACCATGCATTCTCTGTGCTAACAAGAAAACTTTCATAAACGAGTGTACTTTTGTGTTGTGCGAAGACTTCAGTAAACTAAGTATACTTCGTGTTGTGAGAAGACTTCAGTAAACTAAGTCTACTTGATGTTGTGAGAAGACTTCAGTAAACTTAATCTACTTGGTGTTGTGAGAAGACTTCAGTAAACTAAGTCTACTTGGTGTTGTGAGAAGACTTCAGTAAACTAAGTCTACTTGGTGTTGTGAGAAGACTTCAGTAAACTAAGTCTACTTGGTGTTGTGAGAAGACTTCAGTAAACTAAGTCTACTTGGTGTTGTGAGAAGACTTCAGTAAACTAAGTCTACTTGGTGTTGTGAGAAGACTTCAGTAAACTAAGTCTACTTGGTGTTGTGAGAAGACTTCAGTAAACTAAGTCTACTTGGTGTTGTGAGAAGACTTCAGTAAACTAAGTCTACTTGGTGTTGTGAGAAGACTTCAGTAAACTAAGTCTACTTGGTGTTGTGAGAAGACTTCAGTAAACTAAGTCTACTTGGTGTTGTGAGAAGACTTCAGTAAACTAAGTCTACTTGGTGTTGTGAGAAGACTTCAGTAAACTAAGTCTACTTGGTGTTGTGAGAAGACTTCAGTAAACTAAGTCTACTTGGTGTTGTGAGAAGACTTCAGTAAACTAAGTCTACTTGGTGTTGTGAGAAGACTTCAGTAAACTAAGTCTACTTGGTGTTGTGAGAAGACTTCAGTAAACTAAGTCTACTTGGTGTTGTGAGAAGACTTCAGTAAACTAAGTCTACTTGGTGTTGTGAGAAGACTTCAGTAAACTAAGTCTACTTGGTGTTGTGAGAAGACTTCAGTAAACTAAGTCTACTTGGTGTTGTGAGAAGACTTCAGTAAACTAAGTCTACTTGGTGTTGTGAGAAGACTTCAGTAAACTAAGTCTACTTGGTGTTGTGAGAAGACTTCAGTAAACTAAGTCTACTTGGTGTTGTGAGAAGACTTCAGTAAACTAAGTCTACTTGGTGTTGTGAGAAGACTTCAGTAAACTAAGTCTACTTGGTGTTGTGAGAAGACTTCAGTAAACTAAGTCTACTTGGTGTTGTGAGAAGACTTCAGTAAACTAAGTCTACTTGGTGTTGTGAGAAGACTTCAGTAAACTAAGTCTACTTGGTGTTGTGAGAAGACTTCAGTAAACTAAGTCTACTTGGTGTTGTGAGAAGACTTCAGTAAACTAAGTCTACTTGGTGTTGTGAGAAGACTTCAGTAAACTAAGTCTACTTGGTGTTGTGAGAAGACTTCAGTAAACTAAGTCTACTTGGTGTTGTGAGAAGACTTCAGTAAACTAAGTCTACTTGGTGTTGTGAGAAGACTTCAGTAAACTAAGTCTACTTGGTGTTGTGAGAAGACTTCAGTAAACTAAGTCTACTTGGTGTTGTGAGAAGACTTCAGTAAACTAAGTCTACTTGGTGTTGTGAGAAGACTTCAGTAAACTAAGTCTACTTGGTGTTGTGAGAAGACTTCAGTAAACTAAGTCTACTTGGTGTTGTGAGAAGACTTCAGTAAACTAAGTCTACTTGGTGTTGTGAGAAGACTTCAGTAAACTAAGTCTACTTGGTGTTGTGAGAAGACTTCAGTAAACTAAGTCTACTTGGTGTTGTGAGAAGACTTCAGTAAACTAAGTCTACTTGGTGTTGTGAGAAGACTTCAGTAAACTAAGTCTACTTGGTGTTGTGAGAAGACTTCAGTAAACTAAGTCTACTTGGTGTTGTGAGAAGACTTCAGTAAACTAAGTCTACTTGGTGTTGTGAGAAGACTTCAGTAAACTAAGTCTACTTGGTGTTGTGAGAAGACTTCAGTAAACTAAGTCTACTTGGTGTTGTGAGAAGACTTCAGTAAACTAAGTCTACTTGGTGTTGTGAGAAGACTTCAGTAAACTAAGTCTACTTGGTGTTGTGAGAAGACTTCAGTAAACTAAGTCTACTTGGTGTTGTGAGAAGACTTCAGTAAACTAAGTCTACTTGGTGTTGTGAGAAGACTTCAGTAAACTAAGTCTACTTGGTGTTGTGAGAAGACTTCAGTAAACTAAGTCTACTTGGTGTTGTGAGAAGACTTCAGTAAACTAAGTCTACTTGGTGTTGTGAGAAGACTTCAGTAAACTAAGTCTACTTGGTGTTGTGAGAAGACTTCAGTAAACTAAGTCTACTTGGTGTTGTGAGAAGACTTCAGTAAACTAAGTCTACTTGGTGTTGTGAGAAGACTTCAGTAAACTAAGTCTACTTGGTGTTGTGAGAAGACTTCAGTAAACTAAGTCTACTTGGTGTTGTGAGAAGACTTCAGTAAACTAAGTCTACTTGGTGTTGTGAGAAGACTTCAGTAAACTAAGTCTACTTGGTGTTGTGAGAAGACTTCAGTAAACTAAGTCTACTTGGTGTTGTGAGAAGACTTCAGTAAACTAAGTCTACTTGGTGTTGTGAGAAGACTTCAGTAAACTAAGTCTACTTGGTGTTGTGAGAAGACTTCAGTAAACTAAGTCTACTTGGTGTTGTGAGAAGACTTCAGTAAACTAAGTCTACTTCGTGTTGTGAGAAGACTTCAGTAAACTTAATCTACTTCGTGTTGTGAGAAGACTTCAGTAAACTTAGTCTACTTGGTGTTGTGAGAAGACTTCAGTAAACTAAGTCTACTTTGTGTTTAATCAGCTGGGCTGCTAACTTTAACTATGAACTAGCTGGGATTCTAACTTAAAATAAATCTTGTTTGTATAATCTAGCTAAAATGCTTAATACTTAAACTTAGGGTACATTCGCGTATCCGGTTGAAACGGTTGAAACGGTTGAACCGGTTGAACCTGTAAAGAAAACGACAGGTACAGATCTGGACCGAGGCCAACCTCAGGAAAATTTGGCACGTGTAGATTGAGGGGTCCAGAAGCACCTGACCGAAACTAAAATGCTGACTATTGCCAGTTTGCGTTATTTCTTTCTAAAACAATGTCAAGTCACATGTAGTTTTTAAGATACATTATGTAATTCAGTGGACGGATGAAAGAAGGTAAGAATATTCTTGAAACACTGTTTTTTATTCTCTGAAACAGTGCATTTTTAGCTCTGCTTATAGAACGGTCCAAGTGCGTTCGTTTATCGTGGAAAATTTCTGCGCCACACGTACCGTTTCAACCGGGATACGCGACTGTACCTTGAGTCTACTTTGTATAAACTAGCTGGAAAATTAACTTAAACTAAGTCAGCTACTTTGCTGTTTTTTGCTGGGATTCTAACTTAACCTTAGTCTTGTCTATGTTGACCAGGGAGATGAGAACATTCCCCTTAGGATCATGCTCCTCCTAATGGACGAGGTCATTGACCTGCGGCAAAAGAACCAGTGGCTCCGCCGCCGTATTGTGGCCATCCTTCGACAACTCATCAAAGCTGCATTCGGAGACAGGATAAACAAGTAAGTCTTCTCAGCAAGGTAAGAAAGTCAGCTAGAGAATGTTCTTTTGAATTCAGAGGCGATACACATGTTTAAGATCAGGTGCTGATTTTAAAAAAAGATATAACAATCATCATCACTGTTAACCTCTACTAAACATTGGACAAAACTTACAGTTTGATAATGTAATATACTATAGGGATATCCGAAGCCGACGGTGTAATTGGTCATTTTCATGTCGGACAAATTTTGAGTACTTGTCTAACTTCTCCCTACACTGAGACTTTTTGACTGTTGATCACGCATTGCCTTGCAGAAAAATTGTGGAGCATGTTGATTTGATGACATCTGCTGAACAGATGGCAGAATATGTGAAAACTTTCAGGTAAGCTGGTCATATATCGGTCTTTTGATTACGGAATTGTTTTAGTTCCTGCATATTCAGATAATTCAGAATTGATATTTTGGTGATGCTCATTTTATTAAGGGATAGAATTCTAAACAAATCACAAGTAGCACATATCTTTCAGGGATTATTGAATTATGAATGTTTGTTTTTACAAGGGATTCCTTCTGGCCCGGAGGTGTTCTTACAGAGCCGCGTCCCCCACGTTCCCTCCACACCAAGATGAGGACTCGGGTAGCGTGTAAAGCTAAGATGCTTGGTAGTGCTCCAGGTAAATACTGTTGACTTGACAGGAATTACTAGGGACCCTTTCACGTATACGGTACAACTTTTTCAACCGGCTGAACCTGAAAAGAAAACATCAGGCCCAGATCTAAGTTCTTAACTAAGGTTGACCTCAGGGAGACTCAGCACATGCATATATTGAGGGGTCAAGACATGCCTGACCGAAACTAAAATGCTATGTTAGCAAACAAATCAAAGCTAACAAATGAGTATTGCACCGTTATTTACATTTCTGTTAGCCCAGCAAATATGGAGGTGGAAGGAAACAAGACAAACATCATAGTACATGTAAAATGTATATTTTGCTTCCTTGCAAATTATTTTGAAGTCCAAATGTCAAACGTCAAGCTCAGCTATATGGGCAGATTGCTTCTTGATGATTATGGGGGATATATTGCCACAAGACGGGGCCCTTACTGACCTGCCATTGTTCTAGTTTCACCTGCATTGACCAAACTTGCTAAAGTTTTAATGTATCTTGGGAAGTAGGAGTGTCGAATTCTAAATTCGGGTCTCTTGCCCCAATATATAAATCGATATGGCCCTTTCTTAATTTTTTATACCAGAGTTTTTCTATTGACTAATAAGGGGAGACATATGTTTTTGTTCACAAATTCAAAATTCTAGTTTTTCACCCTTTTTCATCTTTATCGCTCTCAATAAAGAGCAAGGGTGAATCAATCATTACAGCAAACAGTAGTAAGCGATATCATCAACACATTTATCAAATGTGAAGGGCGAAATTTGTATTGGGCGAAAGTGGGTTTCATTGGCATAGGGTGAACATTTCCTGGTATACTGTAAATCTTAATGCATAAGTACTTTACGGTATGAGAAAAAACAACTTCTTTTCCTCAACCGTGTTGTCACAACCTCAATGTTACACTGGAGGATGATATCAATTTTCACGACATTGCTCACTCATTGTGCCATATTTTCATCATGTGTCTGGCACTATTTCCAACATATGGAACAACAATTTTTCTTGTGAAATAGCCTGATATTTTGTGGGTTTTCACAATTCAAATAAATTTGTTCACCTGCTTATATATCAAGATCTATTGACGTCATAGGTCTCCCTAACCTTGCCATGTTAATACCTTTCATATTATATCTAATCTATATCTGATTTGCCGGATGAAGATGACAAAGTACATACCGTACTAGTCATCGAAACATCACATATAGACACTTTCTGGTTGTGCTACATGAAACTTTTCACATTCTTTTGTATTATAGATGAGATGCGGACGCTGATGGGTACAGAAACAATCAAACTGGGAGTGACACGGATATTTGACATGTTTCAGTACAAGGGTCTCAACAAGAGACTCGTGTATGTCTGTTTGGAGGGAGTGGTACAGACCCTTTTCCCAGAAAACAAGTTTGTAGAACTTTTCGAAAAGCTACATTCCCGGTCTAACAGGAAGTTCACCAAAAATTTTGCCGACAAGTCAGAGACTGATCCTGTGTTACGAAAACGTCCAGTGCGACGGTGATTTGTCCGCAGGGAGTCACCTGCATACCAGAAATAGGCTGTGATACATTCCAACATTTTTTATCCCAAGTATTGAATAATATATATATCATCGATAATGAAATGTGATTTTGTGTTAATGTGCGGTTTTAAATGTACTGTTATATAGTTTATAGTTAATGTGATATTGTCACCTCCAAATGTCCATGTTCGCTGGGATCAAACTTTCAGCGAAGGTGAGAACATTTGGATGGAGGTAGTGATCTAATTGTTGATTTTTAGTTGAATGAATTTATAATTTATACAGTTCAATTGAAAGCAGTCTCATTAATTGTCATAAAATGTTTGCCACCGTGTAGAAGGTACAGAAATATAACACACTGATCTTAAAATTTAACATACTGTATAGTGGGATATTTTAGCCCATTCAAACTTTCGTCCTTCTTCGGTAAAATCCTAATTAGACTAGTTTTAATTTCGCCCTTCATATTTAATATGATGTATATTGTGTTGTTTACCAATGTTCACTGTAATGATCGATTCACTCTCATTCCAGAGGGTAAAAAGGGAGAATATGGCGAAAATTAAACAGCAGCAAAAATGTTCAAGTATGCAGTATACTATCATTGTATCTGTACATGTTACAGAATGTAAATTTATAAAAAAAAGTTTTAAAAGATTTGTATTGACCTTTTACTTGAATGGACAGTGCTTTCTTATATTTTGATCATATTGTTTTAAGTGATATGATGAAATGCCCAATTAAGAAAAAAGCTATGTGTATATGGTATATGTTTATGTCAACCTATTAGATAAAACATTTCCAGTTATGTTTACTGGCTTTTCATGATTTCAGCATTAACATATCTTTTGATATAGGTTAGCTTGTTGAAAAAGCAATGGGTTTATTGGTGAAGTTTAAATCTCGGTTATATTCAAATGTGTTATTCTAGGGGAAAAAATGCAAATTTTAGAAATAAAATTTTAATTAACATGGATTATAATATAGTACTATACTTGCAGTTTTATCTTTGCTGTTGTAATTGGCAAGCCATGCATTGGTTTTGTATCCAGTTACCTGTCGTCTGTTTTAAAATTTCAGTATAAAATTGCCTGTTAAAGTCAGAACTCATTCAATACTCTTTCAGTGATTTTGTTCAAGGTGGTATTACAAGATGACAGTTAGTAAACATTTAAAGCACAAAAGAAAATACATTTTCAAGAAAAAACATTTTTTGTTTCACTTTAAATCCATTAGAAGTGGGCTGTCCACTTGAAATTTAACAAATGTCATAAAATACATAAATACAGTTCACTATATATTCCAATGTCTTTCCAGTCTTCATCTCACAGCAGTTTATCTCTGTGTTTATAGACTGTCTAGTAGTAGTAGTAGTAGTAGTAGTAGTTTCACCTGAATAATTTAATAAACTTTATTTAATTTTACAACAATTATGAAACAAGTTTATCAACTTACATTCACTCTTGTCGGCCCGGATGGAAGTGCACAGAGGGTCTTAATGTGGGGGGAAATCAGAGTACCTGGAGAAAATGCACATGGTCGGGCAGGTGTTCCCATACCATTCACGCCCGACCAGGGAATCAAACCTAAGCTTTCTTGGTGAAAGGCGAATGCGCTATCCACTGCGCCACATGACCACCCTTTATTTTACCTGAAAATGTACATCAAAATCATAAAAGTTCACTAATAATTTTTCATCTGAATTATAACAGAGTAATAGGATAGGCACTAGAGAATGAACTTCTAACGGGAATTAATGGAACTATCGAATGATCCGTGTACAACATGTTGATTTAAAATCATGCAATACTGTGTTGATCACAAGTTTTGTTAATTTGATTTTGAAATATCACCTGTGTAATACTGACTTGTAATGTCGGCTAACGATAGCATTCACCGCCACGCATGGTCACCTGAGAGCTCTGCTTGACTGTTCATTATATCTCTTAAACTCTATCTGAATGTTGCTGAGTGGGATTTGAATGTGGGAATTATTTTGCATAATGTTTTACTTGAAGTTAAATGTCGTATATGTTGGTTATTATGTGTTATTGTAGGGTTTTACTCTGTAGATCAGAGATATCTGTGATTGTCTATGTCATTGCTTTCTTTACCATTACTGAGTTTATTTACTGAGTTGTGCAATAGTCTTATATATCTGCTGTATAATTCGATATAAAAACGCTTTACTGAATACAATGAAATCTTTAACTTTTCTTTGCATTTTTGTAAGTATTCTCAGAAGGGTGAATAGAAATATTGATTTTAACGTCACATTCCATTTTGTTCAGCAAGGTGTTTATTTCTTAATTTATCAATTCAGCATCAGATATAAATATGTAAAAACAGCTAGAGTAATACAGGTACTTAAATTTCATTTCTAAAACAAAATATCTGTAGTCCCATTGTCATGAGACTTCAGAAACGGACTCCAGCATTAACCACTTTAAGGCCATTTTTAAAGTAATTGCTTTATTATTTACATAATAACTTAACATTTACAGTGGAAATGGTATTTTTTTATGGGAATTAATCTATTTTTTGTGTAATAAATCTATAAAGGAAAAAATGCTTGAATTTTAGGAGTTTAGTTGTATTTTTATGGAAATCATTTTATTTTTGGAAGTTCTAATTTTAAGTTTGATTCAGAAACATATATATACAAACCACATGTAGAGTACAAAAGAATTTCCAATGCTTTTCATTGATTGGTGACAATAATCCATTGTCAATGTCTCACCAATTTAGTTGATTATTTGTCTAATCCTTGTGATCCTTTTCATTCTATTTGAAAGAGAAAGTTTCAATCTGGACCAGTGATGAAACTTAAAGTCTGTATATGGTAAGGGCTGTTCCAGAATGAACTGTATGGGAGGAGTTGGAGGTACTTCTTTACAGACACAACCCACCAATATAAATCTTATAAAAATGATTTATATAAGGAATAATAGGCAGACCTGGTTTTAACCCCACCACCCATACTATATATTGATACAGCTGCCTTCCACCTCCCCCATATGAGAAATAATTGAAAGCCCTTACTGAAAAGTCAGGGATAAAAATACACATGTGTAGAAATATACTCGCCACCTTGTTGCAAGCCTTTTATTTAAATTTCTTTTTAAGTTTCACTTGCTGTCTCTTACAATTGAAAAATCTGGTGTCCGCCCCGCCCTCTTCAGTATTCTGATGCTGTGATCAGGAACCTTAATAGTCAGTGTTTAATAGTGTGAACATATGTGTTGAACTAGGAAAACTTATAAGTATATAGGACTCCTGTCTCATGGGTTCCCAGGATACATGTATAATTATTAGATATGATTATATCTTACTTCGTGTATAATGTTCTGTCCAAGACTAGAATATCTTTTCTCTTTTGCTCAATACCAGATTTGTATTAGCATTACATAATTATTTTTGTTGTTGATTTATAAATTATCAAATACGGTATATTTACCTAAAATAGTGGAATCTAAACTAATAGTCATTAGAATTTTAAAGTTGTTTACTATAGTTATCTATTATTCAAAAACATTGGTATTCTAGAAGGTTTTGCAGCAAAATGTTGTGCACAGACTATCCAACTAGTTTCTGGTAAACCTATGTTAGATCATTTGATTTAGTAAATTACAGTCGGTAGATGATAGAAATAGAAATCGTTATATTGTTAGCACATTTGCTAATAACTTATTATAACAATGGTATTGCTTTAGAACCCAACTAATTACTCAAACTCAGATTAATAAGAAAAGTTCTTATGAGTTTAATTTTTCCTCTCTAACATCAAAGTGTAAAAATGTCACCATTTTTGAGTTGCCATCACAATATATTTTCAAATACTTCTTATAATGTCAAAAGCAATACAGTACAATACAATGTGATTATAAAATTAGCATCAGTACTTCAAGCTATACAGACTTTTGCCTGTAGCCAAGTTCTATTTAGTGTTTGAATTTTTCATCATGGAATAATCATGTGCTAAAATGTACTGATCATGTGACACTGTTTGTCACTTTTGTTTCTCATTGTATTCAATATTCTTCACAAGGATATATATGCACTGTATTTGAATCTTGCTTTTTTGCTTTTTTGTCTATCATTTCATCGGAATAAATGTTCCCTTGCAAGACAAGAAATTTTATTTCTTAAATGGTGATTTGATAATAAATATTCACATTCCATAGAAATATCTTTCTTTTAATCAAACATGAATATTTTGTATGAAATAGCCATTTTAGAGTCTAAAATTTTCTGTCTAGTTTTTCAACCATCTTTAGTATCAGTGAAATGTTTGTGTGTCTCATCAAATTCTATGATTCTTGATTGATTCTTTATATAAATTGAATCGTTCCATCATATCTGACTGTCACTGGGACCAATAGATAATAGATTCTGTCCTCTGTTAATATTCTTACAATGATTTAAGCTCCCCATCCCCTTTCACCTTAAACTTACATAGGGCATCAGAATTCAAATTACCCCACCCCCTTACCTTAAACTTACATTGGGCAACATAATTCAAATTACCCCACCCCCTTTCACCTTGAACTACCCCACCCCCTTCTAGCCTAAATTTACATAGAGCAACATAATCCAAATTTATCTGTGTACACTTGTAAGATCTCTAGATATGTCTGACAAATTGTGATGAAATGATGATCTATTAATATTTCTAGGTATTTTACACTACAAGATACTGAAATTATTTATCATCTTTGTGTACCAGTGAAGTTTATTTACCAAACATAAAACTGGATAGTAGATAGAATTTGAAAAAGGTGATAGCAATGAAATATCTTTTTTAAGACAGATATAACTGCTACTGTATACCAGGAAATTTCTGTCAGTTTAATTTTCGCCTTATTCGCCCTCAGTAATACGGGCAAATTTTTCACGACAATGAAAAGAAATACACAGCATACTATATACACAGCATACTATATATAATTATAACATGCGAGAGGCAAATTTAACATTGCACGAAAACTGATTCTACTAGTGGAGGGCAAAAATTTGGCTGAACGAGACGGAACTTTCTGGGTACGCTGTATATGACTTCTCTGTCTGCCCCTGTAAAGGTACTTAGACCATCATTTTATGTAAATATATGCATTTTTAATTTATTTCAGTCAGCTTTTACTTGAATATGTCTGTATAAAGTATGTTCGTTAAAAAAATCTTTTGTCATATCTGTCTATATTTCTGATACATAGGCGATACATAGACATACTTTGGTCATGTAAGAAATTAGTTTACCTTTCTATGTTTTTTCTAATTTACTTTTTCAGGAATTTAAATTTGAGCCTGGAGTGATACATTCTTGTGAATTTATTGTTCATTTTAAAGTGCTGAATGATTGTTTAAGTGACAGAATACAGTAAATGTTATTTTAGTGTGTAAGATTGAATATTTAACATACGTTTTCAAGAACAGTGTTAATTTACCTGCTTTAAAAGTCAGAATATTGAAAAGTAAATACTTTTATTGTTAGGTTATATTAGTTGTGATCGCTTCTTATGAAATTTTCTTTCCAACTTTTTGTTGTTGTTTTTAACTGGTTCTGAAATCTCAGAATGTTGCCGTGAGCATTTTCTTGTGCATAGCAAGAAGTTGAAGAACATTGTGAAACATTTTTTTTAAATAACTGGATATTAAAATGGGTTTAAATATTTTAGAATTTTAAAAACAATAATGGAACGTTTAAATCCCATCAACACGTAAGTTTTATATGAAGAAATGATTTGAAATGTCTATACAATTTAGATTCTATACAATTTAGAATTACAAAATATATCAAGCATGCCATTCAAATTATGAGTAAAATAGAAGAAAAATATGAAACAGTTACATTTTATTTTTGAATGATATGTAACCCCTCTATTTGCACAGAATTAATATTTACACAGCTCTACTGTTTTTCATTACTGATTTTTAGTACATGTATGTAATACTTTTAGATGATACAATTTTTCCAAATAATCCAGACATTTTGCTTCTCTTGCATTAGGCAAAATTACGACAACATCTGATTCACTGGAACAGAATTTGGACAAGTTCATTTTAAAGGAACTTTTTTTACAGTTTGTTATTTGAGAAAAAAGTACACTTCAGATACAAAAACGCTGAAATTACTGATGTTCTCAAATGTTAAATTGAGTGCTGTATAGTAGGGTGCCCTCCCTTTAATTTAATTTTACTGTGTAGATGATCTTTGCTCATTCTTTTACATTATTCGTACAAGGTATGTCATTCAGCATATTTTCCATGACATACTTTGAAGACACATACTTCTATAGAAACAGTTTCTTTTAACTCATTCACCCTGAAAATTCATAATGAACTATTCCAACCTTTGAAATGGAAGAGTTCACATAAGTCTTCAAGGGTGACATTGGATGGGTGTTTGGAGAAATACTCAAACTTGTCAGTCCACTGTAGTCTACTCGCTGTAATAATGTTATATTATGTACCTTTCTACATACTCCATTGACAATGAAGATATTTTGAATGTGTTCAGGTTCTATTCTTCATCTTTCTCTGTAATCCGTTATGGTCTTTTGTGATAGCAACTGACATCATTTCATTGTCTCACTGACGGTGAAGTCAAAACAGGGAAGAAAAAGATAAAAATGTCAAAGAATAGTGTTGTATTCGTTTTTATTTTCGCCAAAAGTGTTTATTACTGAAATAGGGAACCTTTCGCAGAGTCAGACATTTTCTCAGTACTATACACTGGTACACAGATGATTCCATCAAATTTTTGAGAGAGAAAAAAAATATACAAAAACACTGATTGTGGCATACTGAATATGTCGACAGAAATAATGTATGCTGATATAAAAAAACAATAGAAATCATTTTTAGCTCACCTGGCACGAAGTGCAAAGTGAGCTTATGCCGTGGCGCGGCGTCCGTCGTCTGTCCGTCGTCCGTCCGTCGCCCGTCCGTCCGTCGTCCGGTGTCAATATTTTACTTTAATGACTTCTTCTTAATAACCGAAAGGCCTAGGGTGTCGATATTTGGCCAGAAGCAAACTGGGATGAAGGGCTACAAAGTTTGTTAAAATTAATGACCTTGACCCATTTTCAAGGTCACAGGGGTCAGATATGTTAAAAACTTTAAACATCTTCTTCCCGATAACTAAACTTTCCAGGGAGACGATATTTGGCCAGTAGCATGCTTGGGTGAAGGGCTACCCAGTTTGTTCAAATAAATGACCTTCAATTATATTCAAGGTCACAGGGGTCAATTGTCTTAAAAAAAACTTTAAACAACTTCTTCTAAATAACCAAAATGCCCAGGGTGATGATATTTGGCCCGTAGTATGCTGAGATAAAGGGCTACAAAGTTTGTTCAAATGAATGACCTTCACCTATATTCAAGGTCACAGGGGTCAAATATGTTAAAAACTTTAAACAACTTCTTCTGAATAACCTAAATGCCCAGGGTGATCATATTTGGCCAGTAACATGCTGAGATAAAGGGCAACAAAGTTTGTTCAAACAATGACCTTGAATCATATTCAAGGTCACAGGGGTCAAATATGTTAAAAACTTTAAACAACTTCTTCTGAATAACCAAAATGCCCAGGGTAATGATATTTGGCCAGTAGCATGCTGAGATAAATGGCTACAGAGTTTGTTCAAATAAATGACCTTCACCCATATTGAAGGTTACAGGGGTCAAATATGTTAAAAACTTTAAACAACTTCTTCTGAATAACCAAAATGCACAGGGTGACGATATTTGGCCAGTAGCATGCTGGGCTATCAAGTCTGTTCGAATGAATGACCTTCACTTATAGTCAACGTCACAGGGGTCAAATATGTCAAAAACATTAAACAACTTCTGAATAACCAATATGCACAGGGTGATGATATTTGGCCAGTAGCATGCTGAGATAAATGGCTACAGAGTTTGTTCACATAAATGACCTTCACCCATATTGAAGGTTACAGGGGTTAAATATGTTAAAAACTTTAAACAACTTCTTCAGAATAACCAAAATGCACAGGGTGATGATATTTGGCCAGTAGCATGCTGGGCTATCAAGTTTGTTCGAATGAATGACCTTCACTTATAGTCAAGGTCACAGGGGTCAAATATGTCAAAAACATTAAACAACTTCTGAATAACCAAAATGCACAGGGTGATGATATTTGGCCATTAGCATGCTGGGGTAAAGGGCTATCAAGTTTGTTTTGAATGACCTTCACCTATATTCGAGGTCACAGGGGTCAAATATGTGAAAAACATTAAATAACTTCTGATGAATAACCAAAATGCACATGGTGATGATATTTGGCCATTAGAATGATGAGATGAAGGACTACAAAGTTTATTTAAATGTATGAACTTGAATCTTATTCAAGGTCACAAGGAGCAAATATGTTCAAAATATTTAAACAACTTGTTCTGAATAACCAAAAGGCTCAGGATGTTGATATTTAATCAGATCAAAGACTACTATGTTTGTTTAAGTGAATGACTTTGACTTATATTCAAGGTCACAGGGGTCAAATTTGTTTAAAATCTTTAAACGACCTCTTCTGAATAACCATGGGTCCCAGGATGTTGATACATTGCAAGTTGCATACTGAGATGAAAGGCTATACAATTTGTTTAACATAATCACTTTGTTCGACTTTCAAAGTAACAGGGGTGAAATGTTTTAAAATCTTTTCACAGGTTCTTTTGAATGACTTTAATCATAAATACTGATATTTTGCCTGTAGCTTTATTTTATATCACTTTTAAGGTTGCAAGTGTGAGATTTATACTAGGTGAGCAATGCAGGCCCATTGGGCCTCTTGTATTATCTCACCTGCCTGAAGGCACCTTTAAAACAACTTCTTCTCATTAACCAAACAGCCTTGGATGATGATATTTGGCCAGTAACATCCTGGAATCAAGGGCTACCAAGTTTGTTCAAATGAATGACCTCCATCCATTTTCAAGGTCACAGAGGTCAAATACGTTAAAATCTTTGAACGACTTCTTATGAAGAACCAAGAGGCCTAGGGTGATGATATTTGGCCTTTAGCATGCTGGGATGAAGGGCTACCAAGTTTGTTCAAACAAATGACCTTCACCCATTTTCAAGGTCACAGGGGTCAAATATGGTAAAATCTTTGAACGACTTCTTATGAAGAACCAAGAGGCCTAGGGTGATGATATTTGGCCAGTAACATCCCGGAATCAAGGGCTACCAAGTTTGTTCAAACAAATGACCTTCACCCATTTTCAAGGTCACAGGGGTCAAACATGTTAAAAACCTTTCAACAACGTCTTCTTAGTAACTAAAAGGCCTAGGGTTATGATATTTTGCCAGTTAGATGCTGGGATGGAGGGCTACCAAGTTGGTTCAAACAAATGACCTTCGCTCATATCCAAGGTCACAGGGGTCAAATATGGTAAAATCTTTGAACGACTTCTTCTGAATAACAAAGAGGCCTAGGGTGATGATATTTGGCCTTTAGCATGCTGGGATGAAGGGCTACCAAGTTTGTTCAAACAAATGACCTTCACCCATTTTCAAGGTCACATGGTCAAATATGTTTAAAACCTTTAAAACTACTTCTCAATAACCAAGAGGCTGAGGATTATAATATTTGGCCTGTAGCATGCTGGGATGAAGCGCTACCAAATTTGTTAAAATGAATGACCTTGACAATTATTCAAGGTCACAATGGTCAAATATGTTTAAAACCTTTAAACAACATCTTTTCAATAACCAAAAGTCCTAGGATGATGCTGTTTGGCCAGTAGCATGCTAGGATGAAGGACTTTATTCAAACGAATGACCCCGACATATATTAAAGGTCAAAGGGGTCAAATATGTTTGAAACCTTTATAAACGACCTCTTCTCAATAAGCAAAAGGCTAAGGTTGATGATATTTGGCCATTAACATGCTGGGATTAAGGACTACCAGGTTTTCCAAATGAATGATCTTCGCCCATATGCAAGGTCACAGTGGTCAATATATGTTTAAATCTTTAAATGACTTGTTCTGTATAACCAAAAGGTCCAGGGTAATGATATTTTGCCAGAAGCATGCTTGGTTTGACGACTATAAACCTTATGTCCTTGTTCGACATTCAAGGTCACAGGCGTCATATGTTTAAACCTTTAATAGGTTCTTATGAGTCAAACACTGATATTCTTCATGAAGCTGTATTTTAGTCCACTTTAAAGATTATTTGTGAGATTAATACCAGGTGAGCGATTCAGGCCCATTGGGCCTCTTGTTATAAAATGTCTCAACGTCATGCACTTTACCCTCTGGATAATGATCCCGAGTTAGATAATGGATAGATCTTAAAATTTGTACATTCATTTATCTGCCAGGGAGCTTCTGATTTCCCCTGATTCCGAGATTGATTGGTTCTCCTACCAGGGCCCTCCCCTGGATCGCTCCTAATAGATTCATTCAAAACAAGGGCTAGCTCGTGCCTGCCAGTCAAAACCATACTTACATGGTTCAAATATGTTAACAAGAGGCCCAATGGGCCTGCATCTCTCACCTGGTATTAATCTCACAATTGTAATCTTAAAAGTGGACTAAAATACAGCTACAGGCAGAATATCAGTGTTTGATTCATAAGAACCTATTAAAATATTTAAATGTATGACGCCTGTGACATTGAATGTCAAAAAAGGACATTAGGTTGAAAGTGGGTCATGGTCATTCGCTTTAACAAACTTGGTAGTCCTTCATCCCAGCATGCTACAGGCCCAATTTCAGTACCCTGGTTGTTTTGGTTAATGAGAAGAAGTTGTTTGAAGATTTAAGACATCCGACCCCAGTGACCTTGAAAGTTGGTCAAGGTCATTCATTTGAACAAACTTAGTAGCCTTTCATCTCAGCATGCTACAGTCCCAATATCAGTACCCTGGGCCTGTTGGTTATTGAGGAGAAGTCGTTTGAAGATTTTACGACATTTGACCGCTGTGACCTTGAAAAATGGTCAAGGTCATTCATTTGAACAAACTTGGTAGTCCTTCATCCCAGCATGCTACAGGCCCAATATCAGTACCCTGTGCGTTTTGGTTATCGAGAAGAAGTCGTTTGAAGATTTAAAGACATTTGACCCCTGTCACCTTGAAAGTTGGGCAAGGTCCTTCATCCAAGCATGCTACAGACCCAATAACAGTACCCTGGGCCTTTTGGTTATTGAGAAGACGTCGTTTGAAGATTTAAAGACATTTGACCCCTGTGAATTTGAAAGTTGGTCAAGGTCATTCATTTGAACATCTTGGTAGTCCATCATCTCAGCATGCTACAGGCCCAATAACAGTACCCTGGGCCTTTTGGTTATTGAGAAGACGTCGTTTGAAGATTTAAAGACATTTGACCCCTGTGAATTTGAAAGTTGGTCAAGGTCATTCATTTGAACAAACTTGGTAGTCTTTCATCTCAGCATGCTACAGGCCCAATATCAGTACCCTGGGCGTTTTGGTTATTGAGAAGAACTTGTTTGAAGATTTTAAGACATTTGACCCCTGTCACCTTGAAAAGCGGTCAAAGTGATTCATTTGAACAAACTTGGTAGCCTTTCATCCCAGCATGCTACATGCCCAATATCAGTACCTTGGGCCTTTTGGTTATTGAGAAGAAGTCGTTTGAAGATTTTATGACATCTGACCCCAGTGACCTTGAAAGTGGGTCACGGTCATTCATTTGAACAAACTTGGTAGCCCTTGATTCCAGCATGTTACTGGCCAAATATCATCATCCTGGTCCTTTTAGTTATTGAGAAGAAGTTGTTTGAAGTAAAAAGTTGACGCCAGACAGCCGGACGACGCACCATTGCATAAGCTCACTTGCCCTTCAGGCAGGTGAGTTAAAAACACTATAGGCCTCGGATTCTTCTTCAGAAGTTGTTTGAGAGTTTTAACATATTTGGACACTAACCTGGAATATGAGCTAAGGTCATTCTTATGCAAAAATATTTAAGAATGAGAAACACAATATTTCACACACAGTATGTTTTATTTAGCAAATTTTGTCTTTTAAGACAAATAGTTTGCCTATAATGTAGTACAGAAATTCAAAGAGTATAGCAATCAATACCCAATGGTAAATGGTATCCCCTGTACACACAAGGATACCTCTGAATCAATTAATACATTGTTCCAGAATTACAAGATGGCTTAGAATTGAATCTTTTCTAAAAGTACTGCATCAGTACAAGAAAACAAGTCAAAATGATGGAAATAAAGCAAAACAAAAATCAAAATGATTTCACATATACATGTATAAGTGGTTTCATACCATTTTTTAACACTCAAAAACCTATATGATTACATTCAATATGCAATAACGATGATTTTTTTTTAAATCTGATGAGTACAAAGCCTTCCAAGACTAAAAAAGGTTTTTCCTAAACTTCAACATCTATCAGAGACACAGAATCATTTTGTTTATGTACATCTCTGGACCAACTTGGTAATCAATCAAGAAAAACATGAGATGAATTATCTGCCCTTGATTGCATACACGATCTAATCACATCACAGTATAAGATACATGATCCTGTTCCTCACATACACTTTATCACATTGAATGTATGATTTACGAGTATCATGCTTCGATCTGGATTTGGAACGATACCAGTATTTAAACTAAAAGTAATTCAACTAGCACTTGTTTTTCAGGGTGTTATCTAGGTGGTCACATACAAGCATAAGACATTCTGCATGAGGGAAATTTTTGCTTCAATTAATTTTATGATACAAAACAGGAACCATGTGTAAATTAAAGCCTGAATGAGGGAAATTTCAACTTCAATTATTTACATGATTGTATGTATATATAAAATGCCCTGCATGAATTTCATTGTGTTGTACCGTATTTATCGAGCAATAAGCCCATGCCTGGTAATAAGCCCACCAATATATATTGCTGTTTGGAAGAAATGCCAACAAAAGCTTTTTCTTTGTCCTGTAATAAGTCCACCCACTACTTTCAGTCAGAGAATATGTGTTGGGGCCCCTGCCCTTATTACAGGATAAATACAGTACATGTATATATAACAAATTTTGTGCGAGACCCGACAATTTTCTCTGTAGAAAGCAATCCTACTAGAGCCTTACAATATATGTTCATTACAGACAGGTATATATTAAGGCAGACATATATACCATTAGTTATATTGTATACTGGGAATTTTTGCCCAGTCGAATAGTCACTAGTGTAAATTTCACTCTTCACGGGTAATTACTATATAGGGTAAACCATGTACTAATATTAGCTGTCATAATGAATTTGTCCTTATTGCGGAACTGAAAATTGCGGAAATTAAACCGCATCAAAATTTCCCCAGTAAACAGTGATCTGATATCTTCATGCATAAATAACTAAGTATACAGCAACACTTATGCATTGCAAGCAAAGTCGCAAGAACATTTGTTGCAGGTCATATAAATTTTGAAGCAGACATTATCAGATCCAAATAACCCTGTTATATTATTACATTACCGCATGACAAATGATGGCATACAAAAGAAAAAACCATGATCGTCTATCAAAATAAACAATACTATAAGGAAATAAATTAAAGACAAACACAAATGATCCACATGTTCCCTCTCTAATTGATACACATCCACTTATCAATTCACTATCAAAAATCCTTGCGTACAAGTCCACGAAATACCAACCAACCACAATCCAGAACCCAACAGAAGGAACCTAAATCAAAACCAAAAGGTATCGCAAAGACAAACCATGCCTGCTCATGACACAAATATCTAAAACTACTTTTGTGAAAATGTGTCGAGTGATTATGATTTCTTTAATATCTAAACTACAATACACTAACATTTTAATGAGTTTTCTTGATGACGTATAAATTGTAGAAACTAAACAAAGTCAAAAGTCTCAATAAAATGGAAATTGTTATCAATTTTTTTTATACAATAGGTCTTGTTTTGGCAAATCGTAAAATGAAATGTTGTAGGGGAAACTCTCATACCATGGTTCATCTCGCATTTCTGCGAACAAAATTTCATTAATATAATTGATAAATCATACGTATTCTATTTTACAGAGATAGTACAATAACAGTATAATTCATTGATTTTTCTGTTTTAATCAATCAAAACTCAGGGTAATAATTTTTACAGATTTTTTTAACTTGAGGCCCCCAAATGTGGGAAAATATGACCAGGGGAAACTATAATGAGAGGGAAACACAACATTTTATTTTAAAGTCATGTGATCAACATGATCCAATCAAATCTGCTGTTACATATAGATGAGGCATAATAATACAGCTAGTGGATCATGTTTGTGTCATATACAAAGTCTCATTCTATAACACACTGAATTGCATTTGAAGCTTTTCTTCAAATCCGACCAAAGTTACCTGTTACACATTACATTATGAAACATACGCAAATTCACTTTCTTTCACAGTTTTACTTTCCAAACTAATTCATAAAAACAAGCTTTTGCAGTCAGCTTGTAGATGTGACCATGATTCTGGTAATATTTTACATAGCAGTTCACGTTTACCTTAAAATCAAGGATATAACTTGATTCTACAATTTTTTTCTATAACTCATTATTAGTAACAAATATCAAAACTACATCTACATTAGGAATTCTACAAAAAAGCAACAAACCCAAAGTATAAAATCAATACCTTCAGATTTCATTAAAATATGCAACTACTCAAAGAAAGCAAATGAGAGTTATCATTTACAGCATTCATTCAATACAAAATCTAACAAACAAATTTGTGTCTCTTCATCCAGCGCAGTGAAGTACTGAAACCTGTGCATGTCTTAGTTGAACATTTTGCCACTACACATCTAGGCCTGCTCCAGAGAGCTCTACTGCACAAGTCTCCAGATAGTGTCCAACATATAAACCAATCAGAACATACACACTTTCTACTCATCATTGATCATGACTTTAATGACCATTTCTACATCATTTGGAAAGATGTTTTCAGAACCTGTTGAGAGTATGTCAACTACAGAGACCTCTCAATATTACCTGTATGTCAAACACACTAACCTGTTGAGATTATGTCAACTACACTGACCTCTCAAAATTACCTGTATGTCAACTACACCAATCTCTAAAGAGTATGTCAACTACACTGACCTCTCAATATTACCTGTATGTCAACTACACCAATCTCTAAAGATTATGTTTACTACACTGACCTCTCAATATTACCTGTATGTCAACTACACCAATCTCTAAAGATTATGTCAACTACACCAATCTCTAAATATTATGTTGACCCTGTTAACCTATTCAGACCTTCAGACCTTGTCAACAACACCTAACTCTCTGAAGATTTTGACAAAGATGTGTTATAGGCAAATACATGTCTTTTACAGACATTTGTTCTTTTCCATTTGTTTTTCACATAAGAACATCTACTCAAAATTACAGGAGAGTATTAATCAAAACCCTGATAAAAAACAGAATCCATGTTATCAAGCTCAATTTAAAAGTTGATACCAAAAAATAAATCTTGAAAAATGAAATCGTAACACATGTTCTGGAATCCAAAATGGACAAAATTACTTGATATCCAATTCCATGTTGAATGCTCTACTGCAAACAGGGACATTTTTGCCCAGTCAAACTTTCGCCGTTCGCCGGTAAAATCCATTTTCGCCCAATATTAAAATTGCCATTCAAATTTAATGACTATGTTAATTATTTTGTTTACAAATGTTCCCTGTAATGATAAGTTCCCCTTCACTATGAGAGGGCAAACAAGGCGAAAATTAAACTGCAGCGAAATATCCCAGTTTTCAGTATATCAATAATGAAAACAGTACTGACATGCATGAATAAGCAGAGAAAGCTCAAACTGGATCACAGGTACAAATCATTAACAGTTACAACAATCAATTTACATTACCTCGCTTCACTAGAAATGATAATCACATCTGGTTTTTCTACTACTATGACTACATTGCTGTGATTAGTGAGGTTCCATCTGTGAAATACCTGCAGATAATCTCACTTATGTTTTTGGCACCTCTGGAACAATTTGTAGCATAACCGAAGGCGCTGTACATGCCATCGTGTGGATGATACAAGTTAGACTAGTTTCATTCTTTGATATACATCGAACAGAACTGTGCAGTAGCTTATTACTCTTTCACCCCTGAAATTTCATAATGAACTATTCCAACCTTTGAATTGGAAGAGTTCAAATGTGCTTCAGGGGTGAAAGAGTTAATGGCAACATCTGAGTCAGGTGTCAAGCCTCTGTAGTCTTCAAAGGACAGCTATCAACCTTGCTACTGGTTAGTTTGTTCTTTTACTCGAGATCTAGACCAGTCGGATAGCTAGCACCGGGCCTTCCATTTTGCCATTACATGCTCCAGGAGTGCAGAGCACATCAGTGAGTGATGTAGCCCCTAGAGTAACAAGGACACTACTCTGACAACATTGTCACAACTAACGAGGTTCCAGTCCATTAAGAGACTATGTGTACTAGTAAATTATGACATCATTTCCATGGCATGTATAAATTCATCACACTTATTGCAACAGTACAAACCTCCACACACTTTGTAATTAAGAAAGCAGCCTCAATGTCTGACCTGATGTCACAATATAACAAAATCTATGGATCGTAGACCATGGTGTATGAATGCTGACAAGTACCTTGCCTTAAAATCTGTACACTTTGTGTAGTAGTGATGATGTGCAATAAGCCACACTTATTCACATTTTCTCTCAAACACTGTTACTATCCTTTCAAAGGCAAATAATATTATATTCTAACATCAAATATGCTTGGACTATGGAAAAATGTTCTTTAGAGTAATAGGGTATTTGATATCAATTCTGGAAACAGTCATAGGACAAAAATGACTGAATGACAAGAATTGTTCAGACACTTATTTTCTAGGTATTTTTTAAATATAAGTTTATGAAATTCCTTATGCACTATTCAAGAAATATCCTCTTCAACCCATTCACCGCTAAAGTCACATTTGAACCTTACCAAATCATAGGCTAGGCAAGTCCAGTTTAAATATGCAGGGGTGAATGAGTTAATAGACCTCATACCAAACTCTAGTGTCTGGAATGTGTTATGGACACAATCAAAACCATTCCATTATGGTATCACAGAACACTTAGTGTTATTCTCTTCTGCATTAAGATTAGAGAGTAGAAAATTTCAACTTTATGCTACAGTTCATTTTCATATATGTCGAAATTATCTGTAGCTCTACACAGACTGAACAAAATCAGCCAAGTCATGTATCTAAACATTTGGGAATTATAAGCAACTTTGTTCTCCTTTTACTGAAATAGAAAAAAGCGTTTCACAAAATCGAGCTTATCCTTAATTACACTGAATCAGTTTTTTAAAATCTCACTATTTCAAAAAGAATAATGGCATCACCTATATCAAAGCCAGAAGCTGACCATGCTACAGTGGTTTAGTGTAAGGAATGCCAGTTTTGTACATATTCACTAAATAAACGTACCAGTATGTAGGTACCATTTAATGCAGCTAGGTTGTCTAACACAATCAAGATTTTTTGCCTTGCTCTCATTGATAACAAACATGGAAAAATGAATGAACTCCCGACATATTGGACATGAATAGCCTTGCTGGCCTGGCCCTTCCTAATAATATCCAAAAGTTAAGTTAATACATGTATTCCCTCTCACGTATTAACAATAAATATCAGTTATGTTTTTTTGTAATCAAGATCACCCGTTCTTTTGACAGTCTTCTTTCAACTCGGTAAAGCACAATCAAATAAAAATCCCTTCCAATACATATACACAAGCATATATAATGTATATATAGAGGAATTTTATGACAATGTGTGGTTTTTCCAGTAACCACCCAACCACAATTCTGGTGAAGTTTTTTCAATATTGTTTGGTGTTTGTTCTACACAACCAACACACGTTTTTCGTTGACCTCAAACAGTGCACGCCATAAATCATAGGATCCAAGGTTAAGATTGACATCCCTTCGTACAGCATTAAGATAGTGGTATATTGTAGCATGCTTAGCTCTGTATAGTCAGGTAACAACACATCTCCTAATGCTGAGAAGGACTGTTCGACAGACTCAAGGATTTTCTTGGTTTTTGTCCAATGGAAGTTGTCCCTTAGGTTTTTCATCAGTGTAGCACTAAACCAACCTACAAAAAGAGGAGTTTACAGTGTATTCACATAGTACACATTTTAATTAAATGAAAACCAATCTCATGGTAGAAATACCAAAATAAATTAATTTGTAAAAATTTGGAGTAAAACTCCTCTACTTTTCTAAACTAATATTGGTATTTTTTTTCATAATATAATCTGATATAAACTCAGCCTTGTCCCCTCAATCTCTGGCACACAGACTCGTCTCCACAACCTCTATCACACAGCCTTGTCCCCTCAACCCTTGCCACACAGCCTTGTCCCCACAACCCCTGTCACACAGCCTTGTCCCCACATCCCCTGTCACACAGCCTTGTCCCCACAACCCCTGTCACACAGCCCCTGTTACACAGCCTTGTCTCCACAGCCCCTGTCACACAGCCTTGACTTTTACCTGTTCTGGATTCATCTGGGCACACTTCCAGTTGTACAGGTAATACTGTAGGTTTCCATCACCGATGCCAAACTTAAGCCTTTCCAGAAATTCTTTATTGTCCATCAAATCTAAGGCGTTAAATACATCAAATCCCATCTACAACAGGAAACATTTTTTGTTCATTTTTAAAGGCAATTGACAATGCAGTAATCTAACATTCAATCAAAGTACAGTATAACGACGTTTATCAAAGTATAACAAGAAACAGCTGTCATCGTTTTATATTTTAACTACAATGTGTTTGTTGAAAAAAGTTTTCAGGTCTGCTTGCATGTTTAAATCTTGAGTTTTCTATTTGTTGTACTAATATGCCATTGTCACTATGAACACCATAAAATATATAACTCCTAAAATACTGAATAATGCTGGAGAAACATACACTCCTTGCAACAATAAGTGCGTCCTGCATCAGTTCCATCCAGGGCGTCTTTGTGCTGACATTGTAGAAGGAGTAGGCCGCCTTCAAGTACTTGTGGGTTGGGTGGTGCATCACAGTCGACGGTAGCGTGTAGAAGCTGACAAAGTCAGTCACTATTCCATCCCTCTGTAAATGTTAATTTAACATGTACTTAATTATCATTAAGAATACATTCACTATAAACATATAAATAACAAACCTGCATTTAAAATAAACTCAATTCAATTTACATTATGAAATTATTATCAACGCTTCAATTTACATTATGAAATTTAAATCAATGCTATAATACATGAAGCTAGAAAATGTCTGTAAGATATGAATGCCTCCTTGCCTCTGTGGGTCAGTAAGCTAATGACAATGAATCTTTTGACAAAATGACAATGATTGACCTATAAATAGCAAATGACCTTGGCATTGACCTTGGGGCCCTAAAATACAAACTCCTTATGGTATTCTCATGTATAACTTCACCTTTGTATCAACTTTGACGCTATCAAATGGCGTCAGTAGAGCTGTGTCAATGAATTGAAACAGGAAGTGACATGTTAGGAAATACCACTCTCTACTGCACTCATTTGAACAGTTTAAGATGCAGCAATAAACTTGTATACTATGTGTAAACTCACCTCCACTACATAGCTATCAATGATTCCCGGCCTGGGTATAAACCAGTGCTTGAACTCCTCCATAGAAAATACTGGTGCTAAATCTAGTCCCTGCAAATACTGCAAACAAAACACAATTCATTGCCATTAAAGTAAAACTTTTTATCAAATGAACACTATTCAGGGGTGTACAAATTCATATTTAGAATACTAGCGAGCAGGCAGATTTTGTAAAATTCTACTAGTGCACCTTTAACTCATTCACCTCTGAAGACACATTTGAACTCTTCCAATTCAAAGGTTAGAATAGTTCATTATGATATTTCAGGGGTGAATGAGTTAAAGTTCATGGTAAATATTGACAATTTCACCAGCCCCCTACCAGAATACTTCAAATATCTCTGTTTAGGATCGCTGAAACTTATCAGAGAGATATCATATCATACAAAAACTTTCATCATCATCATCATCATCATCATCATCATCATCATCATCATCATCATCATCATCATCTTTAACTGAACCATTTTGACATGAATAATGATATTGTTTATTTGCTAAAATTAGTACAAAGTAAAATACTCACAGTAGATAACAAAGCATGTACGTCTTGGATATCTGCTGGGGTAAACTTCCTAAATCCGGGTGTTTTGGGGGTCTGTTCACGAGTAAAACACACTTAAGTATAATGAAGAACTTCATAAAATTTTCAAAACTCATCGAGAAAACAAATCTTGATATCACGCAAACAACCTTTCAATATTTACTACAAACTTGATTATTTTTACCAAGAACAACACCAAGGACAGATTTATGTAAATCAAATTTAACCTTCCCGTAATTGGCGATTGCATTTAAAACGAAATCTTACATTTATGGTGAAAATATAACTTAACAAAAATTAAATAAGACATGATCTTCTTTATAAACAATAAAAAAAAAAAAATAATACTTCACGAAGTTATCATTCTATTTTAGGATATCATTTTGAGCAGAGAATATATCCCCAGGTTTATGGATTGTGAAGTTGATGTCTGCTTCATAAGGGATCATGTTACAGATATAGTAAAACCCTATTTATTCGGTCTTCAATTGTTTAATTTGCGAAGCCCAGAATTATCTAGATGTTAACTGTTTATGATGCTTTTATACTTACATCTGGGAGTTTGTACAATTTGAGTGTCCGCTGCATAGTCATGTTCCTACTTAGGTGTGAAAACTTCACTTCAATTAATTTCCTAGGATTTAAAGATCTGTGCCAATATCTGGAACAAACAAACATCTTAATTCTGAATCGATTTCTTGCTACATGTCAGACTGCTGTAAAATTTATATTTTGAAACTACAAAATGTCTGTAAGATCTGAATAATCCCTTCACCCTGTGATTGACCTATAAATAGCAACAGTAACCTCAGCATTACCTTTGAACCCTAAAATACAGACTCCTTTTCCTACTCCTTGCATAAACTTTGATAAAAAAAACTGTTATCTCATTCATCCCTGAAATTTCATAATGAACTATTCCAACCTTTGAATTGGAAGAGTTCAAATGTGTCTTCAGGGGTGAATGAGTTAAGAAATGAAGTCCTTAGAGTCATGACAATGAATCACAATGGGACTGGACAGGACACGATGGACAAGGATAACATTGTATGCCCTCAACCCCCATAAAATGGCCAGGGCATAAAACACTGACTTCACATTTTCCAGGATATTTCACAGTTAAAGGATAATGGGTGAAGGTCATTCATTTAAATAAAGTTGGTAGCCCTTCATCCCAGCATGTAACTGGCCAAATATTAACACCCTGGACCTCTAGGTTATTCAGAAGTTGTTGTTTTAAAGCTTTTAAGCATATTTGACCCTTGTGACCTTGAATATAAGGCAAGGTCATTCATTTAAACAAACTTGGTAGCACTTTATCCCAGCATTTTATTGGCCAAATATCATCACCCTAGGCTTCTTGGTTATTCAGAAGTTGTTTCAAGGTTTTAAACAAATTTGACCCCTGTGACCTTGAATATAAGCCAAGGTTCTTCATTTGAATTAACTTGGTAGCCCTTTATCCAAGCATGTTACTGACCAAATATCACTACCCTAGGCCTATTGGTTATTCAAAAGAAATTGTTTAAAGGTTTTAAACATATTTGACCCCTGTGACCTTGAATACAAGTCAAGGTCATTCATTTGAACAAACTTGGTAGCCCTTCAACCCAGCAAGCTTCTGGCCAAATATCATCACCCTATGCCTCTTGGTTTATCAGAAGAAGTCGTTAAACGATTTTAACATATTTGACCCCTGTGACCTTGAAAATGGATGAAGGTCATTTATTTGAACAAACTTAGCAGCCCTTTATCCCAGCATGCTTCTTGCCAAATATCATCATCCTAGGCCTCTTGGTTACTAAGAAGAAGTTGTTTAAAGTAAAAAGCTGACGACGGACCACTGTATAAATGTGTGTACCTGGTTTCCCTACTGACCCCCAATTTTTGTGACTACCCTGAAGGTTTTTATTGGCATTTAGTAATAAGCAATGTGCAAGTCAGAACTCCTTCTTTATATAAGCATAGTTAAAAAAAATTCAAACAAAACAAAATACAAAATTTGCCAACCTACTGCCCCAATTTTTTTCCATGCAAAAATGGGAATCGCCAATTTATTTGTTGTCCTAAGCAAAAACCTTACCTACAACAGGCCACCGGTTTTGGTAGGACCACTCCTGCAGTATACACTGCCTGGAAAAGTCCCTTCATGTGGACACGACGAGTTATCTCCCTAATCAGAACTGGAGCCACCCGCTTTGATCGAAGTCGCTTGTGGACACACAAGAAATTTATTTCTACCATTTGTTTTGATCTGAAAGAAAATCAAATAAGCAGGGTTGATTAAAATGCACAATAAAAGAAAAAGAATTTATGAAACTAATACTGTAGGCATCAACTTATTCACTACAACAACCAAAACTGACAAGACATGCATTTCTCAATTAGTTCTTTTTATAACAGCTTTAAGGGCCAGATGAGCTAAAATTTTATCAGGAAATCAGTAAATCATTTGCATATTTTGGAAATTGAGATTTAATAGAATTTTACATTCAAAATGCTGGGTCAGATGTAACTAGTCTCTTAGCATATCCAACACAATCCTTCCATAGTATCATTATCACAACCTAGGTCATAGGTCGTCTCAAAGTATGTAAACACAAATCATTATCCGTTGTTATCTGGCCTTTGCAACCATCCAATATCTTTCTCAACTCCCTAGGGAGCATACTGCCGGGACTGCCATTTAGGCACTCAAAGCTAGCATTCAACAATTCCAGCACTGCCCAACCACATACTTATTTACAGCTATGTAGACTAGAACAAGCGGAGTACAGTATCTTGTTCAAAGATACAACAGAGTGCTGTGATGTGACTCGAACCCGCAACCCTTCGGTAACGAGCCCCGCATCCTACCACTAGACTATCCTGCCTCCTAGAAACAAGACAAGAGATCCCAGAGGGATCTTGGCGCCCACCTTTGTACCATCTTCATTAGTTCTTTGTCAGTTCGATCTTTTCTCTTCTTTCCTCTAATCTGTTTGATCGAGTCATGTTAACAGTAAATGCACCTTGAGGTAACTTTTGATCTAAACTTATTACTGATGTGTATGAAAGCCAACCTTCAAAGTGAGTTTGTCATTTCACATATTTACTAGTACAGTACATGATGTGAAAGAAATAGAATCGATCATTGCAATATGAGAAAGATCTGTTTAGTTCTTCTTTTAATCCATTTTGTTTTTATGATCAGTCTCAAAATATAACATACACAA